GCTCAGCTCATAGGACCATCCAAACGTCTGCGAGTTCTGAACAGCTGCCCAACCTTGCATGCAGCTCTTATCATCCACTCAGTTTCATGCCATGTACTACAGAAGAAAGTGGAAACTTTGCATGCCAACTGATCAGTGATTTTGTCCAGTTTTGTAACTTCGGAAATATGGACTCATAATGCTCACTTTGGAAATCAAAGTCCCCTCCTGGCTTAGATTGTAATCCAGCTCCTTCCTCTGTGCTATTGCCCTTCTGCTCACCCTCCATGTAAGGCTGCTCCACACCTCCTTGGTGCCACCTGATCACTCAGTTACTCTGAGTACTTCTCCTCCTGTGACAGAGTTGAGAAAAAGAAACTCTCTGTTTGTAGTAGATAGGAACAGGAGCAGAAAGCTATTTGATGCCATATTATTGTACTGCTTGTTCAACTAGTATTATCTAGTCACCTTAGCAATGGGTCTCACTCAGAGATCTCACTCAGAGATCTGAGTGAGCAGTCTTTCCCACTAACCTGCTACTGAAGCCCTTTAACCGCCAGGGTTTCGAACACGAGACCCTCAGATATAAAATATATTCCATTCCACTGAGCTATGGTCTTTCACCTAGGACTCTGGAGCACATGGTCAGTTCATGTAGAAGGCTGAGTAGGCCTGCTAGAAGCCATTATTGCTGTGCATGAAGTGTGAAGGAACAGACCCAGCAGACACCAATGGCTGCAGTCCAGCTTGTGGGTTGTGGAAGCAGAGTAGTTGCAGTGGGTAAGCTGTTGTCCATTCACTGCTGCTGGTCTTTTTCCTGAGGGGCCCCACTAAGTTCTTGGGGAAGCCCAGGGATCTTGATGCAGATTTTAAAAGCTATTTTCAGGAAATGACTTCTGGGTCATTACAGTGAGACTAGTTTCAAATTACTGATAACATGGCTACTGTTGGGCCAGACATTTCTTGATAGCCTTTCTCCACTCACTCCCAGAGAGTTAAGAAAAGAAACCATCTCTTGCTTCTGCTTGCTCAGTGTTTCAGACCCATGTTTCATAAGGAAAAAGGGGGACATTTTTTTATTTATCACTTCTTTTTGTCATTATTGCATGCAATAGCAACAGCATGTTACCCTTCTTGAGAAAAAACGGTTGTTCACCATCAAAGTTGATTTTAAAATGCCATCTGTTTTGTAACAACAGGCTCTTCTAATAGCTAAATTGTGCACCTGTTCATAACAAAAATTTGGCATGGCTTTTGGATATCTTTTAGGGATAGCATTTTGTTCTTAAATGGAACCAGTATTCTTTTAAGAGTAGACATTAACATGAGAGGTTTTCTGTTCTATGTTATGTGTTTTTCTTTTCTTTCATATTTGCTTTTAGATATGCAGCACCTCAAGAAAGCCATTCTATCTTACAAAGCTGAAATGTAATCTCCATGTCATCTGTATTGTCACTGTTGTTAGTGTACTGTGTGTCTCGTCCAAGCATTTTCTCGTTGCCATTTGTTTTAATTTGGAGGAAGTTCTTCACTCTCTCTTACAGTGCATCATCTCACCTTACAAACCCATCGTTCTATAAAATCAGCTTGCTGTATTGTCACTCAGCAAGTAAAGAATCTTGCTGAAGTCATGTTAATGATGAGAAATTTGCATCTTAGGCCATCTGGAGGCTCTCCAAAATATAGTTTGACTTTCCGCATGTAAAAGGTTTACCCATTCATTTCTGTGGAATGCCTGCCCTGGGGTGAGGAGGCAGCTTCCAAATAGAAGTGAATGGGAAAACATTGGCCTCTCAGAGGCCTCAAAGGTTACAAACATTTAGGTATGTACAGTATTGGCTTTCCCCAGTATCACTAGGATAAAGTTATTAAGAGTTTATAAGAAGTCCCAAAACAAGACACTCTAATTAATGATAGTGTAGCATCATGGCTAGGAATCGGATCTGAGAAAGCCCTGGTTGAAATAGTTGAAATAGTTAAACTATTCACAGAAAGGCCAGACTAGACACAGCGGAGAGAAAATTCATTAGGACATGAAAGTGCATTGCTGTTTTGGGGACAAAACACTTTCTGAGCTTCATGTCTGAACAATCAGAACACAAGCCTCCGGTGCTATGAGAAATGGACAATCTTCAGTACTTAGGAAATTGGCACTTCTAACAACATGCTGACTTCTGGCACGTAGTTCAATGCTCTTTGGCTAAATTTTGGCATGTGATCGTTTCTCAGCTTTAATCCTCTATCAGCAAAACAGACATAAATGGAAGATGGAGAGTCTGTGAACCTTTCCAGGTGGCCAAGACGGAGTGAAGGTGGCATCTGGTGCTGTGGGCATGCAGAAAGCAGAACTCCTGCTGGTGCAGGCTGTCTCTGTTGGGTTGCCCACTCTTCTGCCTGATTGCCACTAATTCTTCTCCTTCCAATCCTCCCACCATGCCTCACTAATATTTCACTGAAGCCCCCTTTAAAAGAGCAAAACAAGACTCCTCCTTTTTCTTCTGGCATTTGCAAACTACACGCGCAGCGAAAGCCTGCAGAGGAATTCTGGGCTATCCTTTTCACTATCTGTCCAGGAATACTTGTCCTCATGGGCGGACTTGTAGTCAGATGTCACCAAATAAGCTGGTTGGGAGGTAGCTGGAGTCAAAAAGAGTAACTTTTAAGGCACTTTTCCTGACCCTTGGGAGAAGCCCTGAGCTTGCTATGAGCAGTTATAGTGAGGAGCATTGGATGCTACCTGTATGAATGCATGAATATTCCTATACCTGTCATATTTGATAGTTTAGCTCAGCTAATCAGTTCAGCTTAGATCTTACCCTGAGCGCTCCATCTCTCTCTTGGTGTGTCAGTGGGCCTTTTTGTCTTGTTAGTAGTTCCACCAAAAGCAGCCTCCATAATACACAGGAAAGCCTTTTGAAATAATGAACATCTCAGTTAAAGAAAGTAGCTCATGTTATATAGAGCCAGTGTCTGAAAAATAGATACTACCTGCTGAGCACATACAAAATACTTCTCTGGACTGGGACCATAACAGTTTCCCCTCCACTAGCAATACTGTGTGTCATTTATGTCATTGTGAGTACAGTCTTGTTCCTTTTGAAGAGCATTGATACCCATAGTGTTCTGTCTTGTGTCTTTTTTGGGGCAAAAAGAAATCTAACCTACGCACCTGAATGCTAGTTGAATATGACCACCAGCATCTTTTGTCTTTCCAAGTTCAAAAGATGAGACTGTCCAGCGTGAATGATACTGGATTGGGTGGATAAAAAAAAGTCAACTTCAAGTTTAGAAGATCCCAAATCAAGGGATACAGTTTAAATTTGCACAGCACTACAGCCTCTTGAACTTCTATAATGTTAAATGTTCTTTATTTCCCCGCCCTCGTCATGTGCATTGATCTTCAGCATGACCTATTCCTTTCATCAGTTACGTCAATCAGCTCTTGGCTGGGGATGGGTACCATCAATAAAAAAATTTAAGCACATTTGACTCCCCTTGATTACTGATTAAAATATGTCAAATGTTCACTGAAAACAGTTGGATGTGAAATCAGTTGGATGATGAAATGTGCTTAATTTTTTAAATGAGAACTTTTATCTTCCCACCAATTGATATCTTCTTTTTTCTTTTATGAAGCTTTTATAAGTGATGGATCTTTTATGTTGTGAGAGCATCACTTTAAATATTTAGCCTTGTATTGTTGTAAAGGAGCAGCAGGAACAGATATGGTAGAGGAGAATATAAAAATCTGAGCTCTAAAGCAACTTCTCTGTTGAATATGAACAACATCCAACGTTGAGCAACGCCTTGCTTGCGATCAGTTGGAATACCGTAAAAGTATGCACACTTTTAACATCAGAAAAACTCTACATCAGAGTAGAGGAGAGAAAATAAAGGTTGGATGAAATCTTCAGTTAAGGGCATTGCAGACTGAAGAGATCACTGGTAGATGTGCAAGTGTCTGATCACACCTAACAACTGGAATGAAGCAGCAGTGGCCAGTCTCCACCTCTAAAGGCTGACTGCGACTCAGATCTGTCTCTTGCCCTAGACAAAATGCTCAGGTTCCTGAGCATTTATACAGAAATACAGGGAAACATGTTTTCTCAAAAGAAAGAAGGTTAAAAAAAAGAAAGAAGTTCATTTGAAGCCAAATTACAATCTGGCTGCATTTGCTCCCATCTAGTGTCTCTGGATAGCCTTCTAACATGTTAAAGAATCATTTAAATAGAAATATATTGGTAATCAACCTGATTAGAGGACAGACAATTTAATGGCTCAGTTGCTAAGATTTCCGTGTCTTTACGTTTGCAGCCATTTCTCTGAAAAGTAATAGCTGTAGTTATAAATTAGATCAAATACTAATTGTTTCTTCAATGAAACACCATAGTTGTTGTAGTATATTTTGTCTCCAAGATTCAAAAAACAAAAACAAAAAACCACATACTTATCTATGAAATCACACTGGTTAAGGAATTGGGCAAGTATGGCATTATAGAGGCCTGAATAGTACTCCAAGCCTCACGGAAGAAGAATAGGAAAGAAATACTTAAAACACCCAGATTTTATGCGAATATCTTTCTACTGCCCAGTATTTGGGATCAAGATTAAGAGAAATGACCATTTTAGAAATGTGTTTTAAAGTAAATAATTCAACCTTAACTTAACCCTTGTGTCTCTTGGAAACTGTGCTTTGTCACACTTTTATTAAGCTTTCTTAAAATCTTTTTAATGGGCAAACTATGTATTTCAAATGCAGAGCTGAAACACCACCACTGAATGAAAGAAGCAAATATCATCTTGTGGCATGCATCAACCTAATAATCACTGTATTGATAGATGTTTCTTGGTCTTTGCAATGGTATCTTCTATTTTTAAGAGCTCTTACACCATGCATCCATCCTTGGACCTGTTTGCTTGTTCAGTTTTGACAACTGTATGTGGACTCTCTCTCTCTCTCTCGGCGCTGGGCACCCTCAAATTCAGAACTAGTATTAATACTTTTTTTCTTTTGGAAATAGCTCAAATACAAAGAAAGATTTGACAAGGAGAAAGGAAAGAGGCCACAATATGACCTCAAAGAGAGCAAGATCTACAAGACCTTAAAAGACGCTCATAACATCGCCAGTGAGGTATGTCTGACTCTCAATAGGTTTGGTAACATAAGGCATAGGCTGTTTCTTAAGGTGATGAGAGGTCCCAGAAATGCAGGAGCATCAACCCAGATTTGGTTTCCTTTTGAAGAAGGGTGCTGATTTATATGCAGTGGTCTGTGTCTGGTCTGTAATGAATGTTCAGCATCAAAAAGTCACTTGATTTCTATTTGTTCAAAACTTGCTCTTTCTCTCCCAAAATGCTTTCACCGCTTCCCATTTGCACCTATCATAGAATCACAGAATCATAGAATCATGAAGTTTGAAGGGGCCTAGAAAGCCATCAAGTTCAACCCCCTGCTCAATGCAGGAATATAAATCAAAGGATGTCTGCCAGGTGGTTGTCTAAATTTCTCTTGAATGCCTCCAGTGTTGAAGTAATTGATTCCATTGTCTTACTGCTCTAACAGTAAGGAAATGTTTCCTGATATTCAACTGAAATCTGTGTTCCTGTAATTTGAGCCCATTTGTTGCATGTCCTGCACTCTGGGATGATTGAGAAGAGATCCTGCCCCTCCTCTGTATGGTTGTCTTTCAAGTATTTGAAAAGTGCTATCATATCACCCCTCAGCCTTCTTTTCTCTCCTGATAGGGGAGTTTGGTGGGTTCCTGCCCTCCCTTCTATGTGTCTTTTCAGAGTGGGAAGGCTGATGGGAAATGAGGGGACTTTGGATCGTGTGGATCCAAAGCTTCCCCTGATCCTCTTCAACATGATACTTATCACCAGAATCACCAGTGAAATAGCAACAGTAAGTCTTTGCTGGTTCAACTTCCTACAGATTCCCAGGAGCTCCTCTGGGGTATGCATATGGCTGTTCTATCAAAGCATTGTGTCACCTTTATTCATCCTCATCATGACTGACTGGCTTTTCCCTCACGTTTTCAGGTTAAATATAAAGCAGATCTGAAGAAACTTCACAAACCTGTGACAGACATGTCCGAATCTCTTGCGATGCATCATGTCTTGAACACCAGCCAACTCGCCAGTTCTGTAAGAGTATTAGCTAAGCCCAGATCTTTTCTACTTATATCCACCTGCCATTCTAAAATAATCTCTGCTAACAACTTCTGTAAGAGCTTTTCTCCTTGACTGTTCTCAGGAAATCACCTGGTAGTGATCTCTTCTCTCTTGCCTAATGAATATTCTCCATGTGGACTAGCAACATTAATACCTCTAGCCTAGATATATTAGCTTGGAGCTGCTAATATTGTACAACCGCTAACTAAATTTTAATAGCATTTTAAAACTATTTTGACTCATATTTTTGACTAACAAGATCACTTTTTTCTTTTTTTCTTCTTTTTTCTTTTTTGGAACATAACTACTACTACTACTGTTTGGAAATACTTCTTTAACTTTTTAAATCTTTTGAAAATTAATCCTTTTTTCCCCCCTGGAGACTTATCAACGTGCTATTAAAACACATAATGATGAATCTATTAACAAGAAAAGATCTGACTTAACTTGTTCATTTTTAATTTTACTCTGTACTTATCATATCTCTTTGATTCTTATTATTTTTGGGTATTTTTGTTCTTGATTTACACGGTCTTCTCCCTTTGTGCACAATAACGCAAAGGGCAATTATATTACTAGAGTTTCAATATGAGTCATTCTTTTTCTCCTTTTCTGCACTTCTTCTTTTTAATAAATCCATTTCTGATTTCTTGTCTGATTATTGGAATGATTGGATTAGCTGGACCGGAAAGCTGATTTGGTTAGGAATTTTTCTTTTGTTATTGAGGTAGTTTTTGACACCTTCCCTTTAGTACCAGTACAAGAAGAAATATGAGAAGAGTAAAGGTCACTACCATGTGGTTCCAGATAACCTTGAACAGATCCACCTAAAGGAGGCCTCAGAACTTCAGAGCATAGTAAGTCAGATAAGTATGTCTCCCTTTTTATTTTAGCCAAACCTGCTCATCCATTTAACAAAGTTCCTCCAAAACACTTCACATACACTTACATATACTTGTATCTATGTATGCATGTATGTGTGGGTATATATTATAGATACAGATGTATGTGTGTAGGCTGAAATCCTATTGATGTTTGCATAATGTTTATGTAACTTGCTGCGGCTATTTGCAGCTAATTGATAGCATGCCAGGATACATCACAATAGTGCAACCAAGAACATGACCAGATATGTAGCTGAGATGTATGGTATTAGCACCTCATCGATTAGCCACAACCAGCCACAGCATGTTAAGTAAAATGTCCATGAACAGCAATAGGATTCTTCTGAAAGTCATGTTTTTGGACAAGAGCTCCCAAAATTCCTTAGGCAACAATATACACACTTACGTCTGTGCCAGAAAGATTGGACAAAACTTTTGTATATTCGCTTCCAGACAACTCTTTAAGATTTGATTTGTACAACCCAAGGGCTCCTGCCTAGATAAATGTATGGCACTGACATGTGAACTAACCATGTGATCCATCTAGTTGTGGCTTTATATGGGATAGCTGCAACATGGACCTCTGTCAGTGGTGACAGCAATCATGTTGCCATAGTAACATGAAACTGAGCTTGACTGTGGTAGTTGGAAGGGGAGAGATAGTGCTTCTCGCCCCGTGAGAGTCTGTGAGAGTCAGCAGTTCATGAGCCACAGGGTTTTTGTAGTTGGATTTGTGAACTGAGCAGAATTCCCAGAAGGGTCCACGCCAGATCCCTTTCTGTATTTCTGTTGTATACTATATAAATGTGGTTGGGATAACATTTGCTTTCCTCTTGACAGGTGAAGTACAAGGAAAAATATGAAAAGGAAAGAGGGAAACCCATGCTCGACTTTGAAACCCCAACATATCTCACTGCAAAGGAAGCTCAGCACATGCAGAGTGAGGTAAGCTACTTTCAGCAAATGTAGGTATTGTGCAGCATCAGCAATTCTCAACCTTGGCTAACCCAGGTATTCTTGGACTGCAAACTCCCAGAAACCCTTGCAGTCCAAGAATACCTGGCTTAAACCAACATTGGGAACCATTCCACTATATCATGGTCATACTATTTTCAGTCAGAATCAAATGGCCAATTACAGAGTCATATTTTTAACTATCTACCAATCATATTTCTGATCACCTATCACGTACAATACATATTGATAGAAATCAGCACATAATGATTTTAGGTTGCTAAATAAAAGATGATTTGAATGGATATTTTGATGTCTGAGGAGAGTCAGCAACTGGTGCTCTTTCCCCAAGTCAAGTGACCAAGTTTATTTTGGTACCAAAGACAGACATTATTATTATAAATATATAATAATATTAATACATTAAATATTGCCAAGTGTGTTTTCACTTCATGCCTGAGGTGCTGACACATTGTGTATCTAATGTTCCATTCATTCAGCTAATATTAATACATTAAATATTGCTGAGTGTGTTTTCACTTCATGCCAGATTGTGTATCTAATGTTCCATTCATTCAACCCATTTACTGAAAGTGTTGAGGTAAAGTAATCTAGGATTATTAAGACACTGAGGTGTCGTGGTTTGTAGCTCAGCTAAAGAGACTCCTCTGGAATGCAATAATAGTAGCATATAAATCATGATAAATACCTTCTCAATTCCTCTTTGTCCTCCATTCTATTGTTATTTGTTCCTCCCCACCTCCCAAGTTGTCATTCTATTCCGTCACTCAGTTTGTGCCTCTCCTGCTTAAAGTTTTGACATTGTTTCATTCACGAGTGAAACTTACACAAGGAGAAATATACCTGTGTAAGGTGCTTGGTCATCTTGTATGGGTGATTAAACAGATAGTTTCTCCTGACTTTTTGCTGTGCACTTTTCCCAAAGTTTGTTTAAAGTTTTGACATTGTTTCATTCACGAGTGAAACTTACACAAGGAGAAATATACCTGTGTAAGGTGCTTGGTCATCTTGTATGGGTGATTAAACAGATAGTTTCCCCTGACTTTTTGCTGTGCACTTTTTCCAAAGTTTGTTGGCCAACCTTTTGAGAAAGTGCACTAGACGTCTAAATCGGAATCTGAGATAAAGCCACTCTGTTGTACGGTTTGCTCACACATTATCTGCCGTACTTTGCTGTGGTTGTGCGTCTAACAGTAATGAGGTGAGAGAAAGTAGAGTTCCAATTGCTCACAGAGCCTCATTTGTTGCTCTCTAGCCTTTGCTACTGAGGCTCTGTGTGCCTCAGTGGTTGTGCGTCTAACAGTAATGAGGTGAGGAAAAGTAGAGTTCCAGTCTGCTCACAGAGCCTAGTTTGTTGCTCTCTCTAGCCTTTGCTACTGAGGCTATTTGTGTGCCTCCAGTTGGCTTTCCCTGATTTACAACAGTGTCATGTTATAGGAGTGCAAGAATACTAGAGGTAGGGAAGTGAAAGCCGTGGGTTTCATTTTGGTATTTAAGATGGCTCTCATTTGTCCACGGCATCCACATTATTATTATTATCTTTTGAAATGATTTCAAAAGTCAGACCCACTTCTCAGAACAGTTAGCACCCACACTTGCGAGAGGTAGGGAAGTGAAAGCCGTGGGTTTCATTTTGGTATTTAAGATGGCTCTCGTTTGTCCACGGCATCCACATTATTATTATCTTTTGAAATGATTTTAAAAGTCAGACCCACTCCTCAGAACAGTTAGCACCCACATTTGCTTTGAATCAGCTGATGGCCAAATCAGAGTCCAGGTTATTCTTATCCAATTTGCATACATGGTGCTTAAATAAGCTAATGGTCAATGCGTGTTAAAGGATTAGCCATAATCAAGCAGATCTCGGGCATGTGCTCTGTTCTTTGCGGCTCAGTGAACTCATTATTCTATTGAAAAATCCTCTTTATATTTAGTGTTATCATCTTCTATCCATTCACATAGTTATTTAATCATTTTGTTGGGGTGTCAACACTGTTCTGTCACAGCATGAAACTTGCACAATCTAAGGTGATAATGTAAGACACTGGGTCATAGTGTTGAGATTATTCTATCAGTTATTCTGATTCCTGAATTCAGAATGCTGTTGGTCCTTTGACCAGGTATATGGGAAAGTTAAAAAAAAGAAATTATTTGTTTATTAATTTATTATATTTATTATCTGATCAGGAACATTTTTCAGTCTGGGCAGATTACATGATACAAGAATACATATTTTGTGAGGTTCCTGGTCCTTCTTTAGACCTACCATAATATTTAGTGAGTACCACAGCTGTGAAGATTCTTGGCAGCTGAGCTCAGTAATAATCTTTCTGTGGACATTGTATTCTGTGAATCAGCATATTCGCCCAAAGTCTAGACCTAGCCCTCTTGCTCTCGAACAGACAGAAGGGGTGGCATCACAAATACAAAGTGACAGGACAGCATAAAATATGCTGCAAGAACTAGACTGGCTTTACAACTAGCTACCAAAACGTAGTGTCACTGTTCAACAACTGGAAACCATTCTCATTCTTCATGTCTTTTATATGCTCTGAAAATAAAATCTTTCTTTTTCTTCATCTCCTTCCAATCCTTAATAGAAAGAATATAAAAAAGACTTTGAAGAGTCCATTAAAGGCAGAAACCTTTCCGGCCTGGAGATTACGCCATCATTATTGCATGTCAGATATGCCACCCGAATAGCAAGCGAGGTAGCAGCTATTCTGTTGTCTTCCGCCATGAACAATCCAACTAGTTTCACTAATTATCCTCACCAAAGCAGCCCCTTCACTGATGCCCTTTCCAGGCTTAAATATTTGTGTTGAGCATGATTTCATTTGTGTTTGTGCCTTGTTGTAGTCCGCAGTTTTTCTCACCACCTCCCCCATTTACTAATTGTTAATTTTATTAGCAGCATCATTGTTTTCCTGTTGGTGGAGCCAATATGATAGTTCATATGCATTTGTTTTAATTAAGGATGTTGTGTCAGTCTGTGATATTTTTGTATAGAGGATAGAAGCCTGACCATCATAACAGTTTGTTGCATTAATCTGAACATTTATTTGCTTGTTTGCTTTTCTTCCCCTTTTTTCTTTCTTGAAGCCCTTTCTTTCTGTTTGTTAGTTTCTTCAGTTTTCCTTCTCTCTCCCCCCACCCCCATCTTTTCCTCTAGAAAGAATATAGGAGAGATTTGGAAGAAGGTGTCAGAGGTAGAGGTCTCACCATTGTGGATGAGACCCCAGAACTGCTCAGAGCAAAGAATGCAACTTACATCTTAAACGAGGTGAGGCATGTTATTGGGTGGTACGATGCACTGGGGATTTTTCTGATGTCATCTGACAGATCAGGCCCTCACTCCAGTGCCCACCTTTCCCTTTTGGATGATACTGTAAATATTAGCCTTGGAACAACTCCCAACAACCACTATTAGGATCTCTATCCTGTCCATTAATAACCCCTAAATGAAGATTAACAAAGCCACATTTAAACACTTATTTTAAAGGAAACAAACTAGAGGAATTTTTACCTCCCTTGGCAGGCTGAGGGGTGGTAGGCATGGGTGGGTGGCAAGGGTACCATTTTGTTGATGTAACAGAGCTCTGCTTTTTGGGTGCCATGACTGTTTTGAGATGTATATTCTGAGGTTAAAGTAAACTGCTCTAAGAACTAGAAAGCATCTATAGGTTTAGAGCTGGTGGAGCCAATATGATAGTAATTCTCTTAGAACCAGATGTTATTATTATCCTATGTAGGTAGCCTAAGATAAGTAATAGTGACTCTGATTTTTAAAAAGTACTGGGGGTCAATGTTGACCCCACAGATGTTTTTCTTTTTGTTTAATGTGGCTGTGAAAGAATCCTTAGATTGAGAAGACCAGTGGGATGAAGAGACAACTTTGTTGGTGCTTGACACGGCACTTATTTGAAAACACATTTGGAGTGGGATCCATACACCATTGAAAGAGCCTTTATGTTTTCTATTATGATTGCATGCTTCTTCAATGAAAGAGATTTTTACTCCCTCCAGTACATGCATGGGCTGGAGGATGAGTGACATCAAATCACTCTTGTTGCACTGGAGTGAGTCTAACTCTGGATAACTGTGCTGTACTGTGAAGACTTAAATCACTCTTCTGTGCCTACAGAAAGAATACAAGAAAGCTCTAGAGATGGAAATCAAAGGAAGAGGCCTGACAGCGCTTGCCTTGGAAACACCCGACTATATGAGGGCCAGGAATGCCACGGACATTGCTAGTCAGGTTGGTGAGAACAATAGTCTTTCAGTAACATGGGGTCATTTTATGGGGAACCTGACTGATACCTCCTCTAAGGAAAATGAGAGGAAGCTTTATATTTCAATGCAGTTATTGTGGATTTATGCCTGTGATCTTTTCCACCAACAGGTCAAATATAAACAGTCTGCTGAAATGGAAAAAGCTAACTATACCACTGTTGTCGACACTCCAGATATCATCCATGCACATAATGTGAAAAACCTCGCAAGTCAGGTAATTATTATTATTTGCCTATTATTATTTGCCTCAAATTTACTTACCAAAATTGATTTATCTTATTTAAAAGAAATCTACCATTTTAAAGTTTAACTCATTTGTAAGAGGTCATAACCTCATGGGATGTAATCATCATCATCAATCATCATCATCATCATCATCATCATGGCAGGAAAGTACATCAAGATCTAGGCAGTGCCTAAGTGTAAGATTGCTTAGGACCTCTATGTGTCTTGAATTCCTTAGAATAAGTGTGATGTAGAAGTTGAGTAAACAAATAAAACTGACAGCCCACACAGATCCATTAAAGGCATGTCTCATTGCTCATATATATTTAGCAGTTTTAATGCCTGGCTTTCATTTTCATGAAGAATTTCTCCTATTTATGCTTTGCAGCAGAAGACAGAATCTAAGCAAAGTTTGTCTTGTCATTAAAATAGTTAACTCTTTGGAGAAACTGGATTATTTTCTTCATCCCGTCTGCCTTGTCTGTTAAGTGTTTGAGAATTATTCCGAGAGCATTTTGTCTCAGAAGTCAATGGGTCTCTATTTTCTATCTTTCTCTGTTAGTGATGCTTCACTGCTATGATTTATTATTCACCGTCAGGTTATCTACAAGGGTATATAAAAAAAGTCTTTGCATCTATTTCTTATTATCTGTTGGGGCATTAGTCAATTAAATGGCATATTATTAAACGGTATGTTGTTGTTGTTGTTGACCAAAATTCTATTAACAATGTGCAGATGGTGTAAGTTTTGGAGGTGAATGGCTTCAAGTTAAGAAATTGACAAAACTCAGCACACAACACACAATGTCTGCGATGATTTTTCTACTTCTCCATCATTTCCCATACTATACAAGGGCAAACCGAGATTTGCGATCCCATGTACAGTTGGTAGGGAACTGCAACTGTCCTCTCTTTGGACAGCGTACCTGTGTGATATATGTGGCACTGCTAAGACTAGTCAGTTAATGTAGTGTGAAGTTTCCTGGGCATGGTCTACTTCTTCAGATGTGTGGAATATTGAAGCAACAGGTGTATAAAGTGTATATGTACACTGGTTTTGGTCGAGGGGGTGTGACAGAATGAAACAGAATGAATCCGAACACGACAGCTGTAATACTAATCATAATTAGAGACGGGGGTATTCGTAGTTGTATAGGAATACCAATATCCCCATGCAGCTGAAGTTAACAAGAGCCTGCCCCCTAGGACCAGACCATCCACTCATTCATCTGGCAGCGGCGGAGGCCTCACTCATCCTTCCAATCACTCCCAGAGCCCCGCTCTCTTCCTGCTCGGCCAGCAACTCGGCAGCCATGCAGGGAGACTAATCCTCCCTCCCGTTGCCTGGAGTAGCTAGCCAAGCCAGAAGAGAGCGGGGCTCTGGGAGTGATTGGAAGGATGAGCGAGGCTGCTGCCACCAGACGCATGAGTGGACGGTCCGGCCCCAGGGGGCAGGCTCTCATTAACCCCAGCTGCTCAGGGATATTCATATTCATATATGAATACAAATTCCCCCATCTCTAATCATAATAGTTCATTGTTGAAAGGCATGATAATCATTTCACAAAGTTGCTAAATACACATCAATCATGATTGTGTGAATGCATATTTCTTTTCCATTCCACCCCCCCTTTCTTGTTCCTTAAAGAATAATTATTTTTCTTTTATTTTCACCTGGAATAATAGAAAAAGTACAAGGAAGAGGCAGAGAGAACCATGGCTTACTACGTGCCTGTTCTAGACACACCAGAAATACAGAGAGTTAAGGAAAACCAGAAGAACTTTAGCATGGTAAGTCTATACGAATTGTCTTTCAGGTGTGGCTTTGGAAGACCACAGTCTCTGCCCTGGACATGGAAGTTTTAGTACATCACCATGGCAACACCACTAAAGAGGCTATCAGCTCTGACTGTCCAGGTACCTTTTACCTGCCGACAGATCATTAGCACTGTCAGTGGATTTCTGGATTTTATTTCAAATTCTTTGCTCAGTAGGGAAGCACGGTTTTTCTCATATTGGGTGAGCATAAAGACTGTACTGTAGATGCATTTGTTCTGAAGAAAATTCAATTGAAAATGATTATTAAAATCAGACTATACGTCTTAGTCCAAACCATACCAAAGGTTTAACTATGGCTGAAATTCAGTAGTAAGCTCTGACTTGCATAGGCTCATTAAATCAGTGGAACATATAGCTGTTGATTCTCTCAGTCCTGGCTTATTCAGTGGATCTATTCTTGTGACTTACTACTGGATTTCACCCAGTATTTCATAGACAGACAGTTAGCCAGGGCTTACGTCAAAACTGCAATTTAAAAATATCTGGAAGTTGAGTCATGGCAACTGGACTTTTTTCTTATTAAGTTGAAATGCTTCACTACTCATTCTAGTAGCTTCTTCAGTCTGAGGAGAGTGCAAGTGAAGAAACTGAAGACTGAAGGGCCTGCCATTGCCATAGATATATACATTTGTTACTGCCACAGACATATACATTGTAACAGCATAACAGCATAAATTTTCCCCACAGGGTAGATTGTTTTTTGGTCAATTTGTTTATATACAAATACAGCCTCAGGAAAAATTTGCTCCTATTTGAAAGGGAATACCTAAGACGTGGTGGACAGAGATATTGCAATTATAAGTTTGAAAGAGTTCTCGAAAAAAAACTATCTAGGCTGAATCCAAAATTCCAAAATGACCTCCTCAGTGGAGGTCAAGGGCATAGGAACAGGGTTAACACTGTTAATACTGTTTTATGTTCAGTAGTGTACACATGCTTTGAGGCCTTTCTCTATGCAAATGCAAGTAGATAAATAGGGACCACCTCGGTGGGAAGGTAACAGCGTTCCGTGTCTAAGTCGCACTGGCCATGTGACCACAGAAGATTGTCTTTGGACAAAAACGCTGGCTCTATCGCTTGGAAACGGGGATGAGCACTGCCCCCTAGAGTCAAACATGACAGGACAAAAATTGTCACGGGGAACCTTTACCTTTACCTAAGAGGGGAAGAATTAGTGCAAGCCACCCTTTTTGAGCGTGGGATTATAACTGCTTGCTTGTGATTGTGTTGCCCACATTGCCTTTATCTCTGTAGACCATGCCTTACAGTGCAATTGTGGTGATGGAGGGATGGGGATGCAGATCATGGTGCAGAAGTGAGGATGGAATTTTGAGGCTTGAAGAAGGGGAGGACTATGGTCTTGGTATACATACCCAAGGTCACATATGCTGGGAATCACCACCAATTGACAGGGGAGGGGAATGAAAGGACAGACATGGGTCTAAATCCCATGCTCTGTTTCCGTGTACACACACAGCTCCCACCTGAGAGATGTGGGAATCTCCTCTGTAATGATGGGGAAAGCTGCAAATGTGTGGGAGATTATGTCCTTCTGTGCTGCATTTGAGACCATGAGGTCTCTATGCAAAGTGTGTGTGCACAAAAGAGTGGTTACACTGAGGCTACACTCTTTGACAGAAGTAGTTTGTTGACACCTAAGGGCTATTTTGTATCTTTCAACAAAATCAAATAAGAAGCATGGCAGGATTTTTCGGGAGCTCTACTGAAAGAAAACACAACAACTTTGTTTCTCTAATAGCTTCGCTACCAACATGACCTTCAGGACAGCAAAGGAAAAGTCACAGTTGTACATGAGACACCAGAAATACTCCGAGTTAAAGAAAACCAGAAGAACTTCAGCACGGTAACTATACATTGCAAGACATTCCATCATCACACTTGTGTCCTACTTTTGCAAACATGTTCATGTATGAAAATCTTTCTTAATGTTAATGCTGTGTCTTGAGAACTGCACATATCAAAGCATCAAACTATATATTACTTTGAAAATGCAGCTGGTGGGTATGGTTTCCCCCCTCTTCCTCCTCCACCTCTAAAGTAACCACAGGAAACCTTAGCTAGCCTTCAAAGTAACATGTAGTTTGACCTTAAATGTCTATATGATTATGCAGAATCAGAACCGTATACGTTTCCTCATTAAATGTTGTTGTTGCTACCCCTTAAACTTGCTTTCTTTTGATAACTTTCTGGTTACACAGTAGGTTGTGTATAGCATAACTAACAAGGATATTAAGAAATGTCTGTCTTTGTCTTAAATGCAGACTATCAGTGTGTAGCGTTGTTGGCTTGCTGTATCTCCGTCCAGCAGCTGATCACTGGCCACTTGCTATGTACAACCAATTAGCTCATTGTTTAGTATGTTTTGAATGCAGAGTTCTCCAAAAGATATGATGTCCTATTATTTGTGATTATTGATGTCTTAACAAAACAGTGGAAAGTCACAAGACATATTTCTGATTTGAAATTAGTATCATTGGGATTTAATTTTAACATTCAAAGTTTAGACCAGGATATTTGAGGGGCAGTCTCTTTGCATTCCCTCGTATTGCCTCAAAGGCTAAATCTCAGGGTTAGAAGATCCTTCAGAATATTCTTTGCTACATCATGAAGGACTGCAGCCCACCTGTACGTATAAGTGGGTGTGTTTGGGTCTTGAATACAAAACTGATCTAAAAACAGCCTTCTTTTGACAAAGAATTCTGCCTCCTTCCTTTTGATCTAGTTTTTGTCTCTCTGTATTGACCAGACACTTGGACAATTGAACATGTCCGCACAGCTGCTAAAAGTTGTAATGTTTGTTTGTTCCTTGATTTTTTTATGAATATTTTTTTTCCCAACATAAATGGAGATGACCTCTATGTGAATGCATTTGTTATCAAGGAACCTGTCAGAGAAGTCTTGTTACTTGAGTCTCCACTGTTTTGTAGTCCTTTTGTTACAAGTGACAATGTTGTTTTCTATGCTCAACCTTGTTGTCTTGGTTAAGATTTTATATAAAGAAGATATTGGAACAGGAACATCTATTGAAAAGACACCTGAGATGCAGAGAATTAAACAAACCCAGGACGCAATAAGCACGGTACAAAACCCAGTGGATTTATTTTTAACGATCTTATCTGTGCTGTTTCAACTTATAAAACTTCATCAACCTCACATGATTCTAACGGCACTGCTGGAATAACTGACACAAAATTTCTCAGTTAACTACAACAAATATCTTTCATCATTAATTAAAATAATAATTTGCTAACAAGCTAATTATTACCGTTTTCACATTTATATTTGACAAATTATTCACATTAGGAAAACTCTTAATTATTAACACTTTCTAATGTTCAACACTAATGACTACCATTTCTTGACTTACAGAAATCATATTCACTTTATAAACTTGTCCAAGTATTGATTAAGATGTTCACCATATAATATTCAAGTAGAAATAGTTACAATACCTTAATATTGGTGGCAATTTGAAAACAGTATTGTGTTTATTTCTGTTTCTGTTGTATATATACATATATTTCTTTGTCTTCTCTGCTTCATCTCCCCATGTGTATATGGTATTGTATATATGATTGTTTTATATAAAATGTCTGGCTTTCCTTTTTTAACATTTTTTGTTTAAAAAGGAGGTGAAATAATGTTTTTATTGAATGTTATATATGTGTCCTCACCCATGTTGGATAAAATAGGGTAGTTTCTTAAAATGTGGATAATGATGATTGGGATTGGGAAGTACAGACGCTATTCATCTGAACTTTTTCAGGACATCTAGATATAGAAATATACTCAGTATATTGACCTTCCAGACTTAAAAACGTGGAAGACTCCACAATTTAGTCCTGAACGAGCAAAAGTTAATGTGGACTACCTTCTGCTGAAATGCAGTGTGGCCAAAGTTGATCTTGACAATTTGTGCCACTAGCTAAAGTGAGATTTAGCATGCCTTTTTCTATCACACCTGTTCTCTTTTGGCAGAGAGACACTATGGACATACAGAGGATTGGATCCAACCTTGTCATATGTAGACAAGCCACTTGTCTGTGGGAAACTTGGAAGCAGGACATGTGCAGATTAGCATCCTCCCACATGCAATACCAGATGATACATGGGCTAAATATGTTACAGCTTCAAAATGTTAACCTCATATATGTTTATTGATGAAGCCACTCCTCATACAAAGTTTTCATGTGACAAAAAAGGGAGTTCCCCTGACAAAGTTTTGGGTAGTAGGTTGACCCCATTAGACTGTGCAGATCACACAGTCTCAAATAGATACACAAACACTGTTTCCTAATTTTCAACAGAAAGTCAGTCTTTGTGAGGATCTTTCCACATGGGTGTGTGCCATGCTTTCCACTCTCATAACTGTATAGCTTTCCCACAATATTTGTTTTTCTCCATTCTCTCGTGTGAAATGGAAATGTGTGTCTTCTTTTGCAGAAAAGTCATTTTTGTATTGTCTGTCTCTTCTAAATGGTGTGCAACTTTTTAGATTAAGTACAAGGAGCACATTGGGAAAGGAACCCCCATTCCTGATCTTCCTGAAGTAAAACGTGTCAAGGAGACACAGAAGCACATCAGCTCGGTAGTGGCTGATATTTTTTTACATCTATTTATGTGTGAGCTGTACAGTAACAGCGTGCTGCTCTTTCCCTTACTAAACTCACCTTTATTTTCTTTGCTAACATGCCTTTAGCCTTAGAAGGATATTCCTCTACTTTTACTTCCTTTTAACCTCCAGGAGCTTTGACAGCCTACTTATTTTGACAGTTACTTATACATTGAGAGGAGAATATCGACACCCTTTTTGGCCCCAGGGAGAGACAAACAGTTTTTGTTTTCTGAGGCCACAATGAAAATCCAGATTCAGTGTATCTCTGTTGGCTCTTTTCAGTGTACTTAATTATGTGTCAGATCCTGGCCTTCCTTTTTGTTGCTCATTGTATTTGCTTACTTTTATATTATATTACATTATTTGTAACCACTAGCCTATTGGTTATTTATACCAACGTTAAGTGCAATGGTATAAACCACATTGTTAATTGCTATTAGTTAAAAGTTGCTGCTTGTGTTCGTCCCTGTATGCCAGTTCTGTGACTTGGCACGCAACGAGAAATGCAAGTGGTGACCAATTAATTGGTGACGATTCACTGCTGCAGTTTACACCATTGCATTCGTACCAGCACTTTCTACCCCTTGTTTATTCATTTATTTATGATATTTAAATACAGGCCATGATAAACTGATTTCAGAGATTCCAAATATTTACTTCAAATTTGCTTATTTGGAATCTAAACCTCAGTTCTCTCTGATCCTTGAGTTTAAAATTCTGAGCCACTTAACCTAACTCACCTTATTCAGATTCCTACTAAACTGTGCAAGGTAATTAAATCTTAATTGGCTCTTGCAAAGTTGGAATAGCTGTAGGGCGATTTCCTTTCCCTTGTGAGAAACTGAAACACCTGTGAATGTAACAAAGTTCTGCAGATTGGTTTGGAAAGAAAGCAGATGTTTTCTTGCCTAGCATGGCCACTAAAGGCATCTAGGTCCCTTGAGCATTTTATTAAGAGAACAGTTGTTAAGGCACTATTACATGTGGGCCAGAATTCTGTTGGTGATTTACTGATGTGTAAGTGAGTAACTCATCATCTGTGACAGTATTTTGCAGCTAGTTAAGGAGATGCCAGTTGGATTCCTGCTTATGTGCCTGTTGTACAATCGGGTGCACAACCAGGAACATGCACAACACCTTGTTAATTACAGACAATTTTTCCAGGGCTTCTGAGATTGCACTTACAGCTGTAGGATCTGTCAGTAGGATTCTGGCTGTGAAGATCTAATAAGTATTGCCTTCTCCTCTCTTTATCTCTTCCCCTCCCCATTTCCCCGAGCTCTTTGCAGTACTAATTCTTTTTTCAATACAAGCCAAGCACTGCAATTTCTTGTTTCTAACTTTACATTTATTTACTTCATATGCTTTTCTGACACTGTGAAATGATTGAATGCCTTATTCACTTAATTGTATATAATTTTTTCTTGAATTTTAAAGGAGTGAAATGCAGGACTTTTGATTTTTTTTAAATGGGCAAGAATTTTGATGTTCTATTTTTCCTCTTTTTTTACTGGGAAACAAAAAAAAAGTTGACATCTGTTTGACATTGCCTAATGGTTAATTTTCAGGCTTAAGCCATAACTCATGACAGTGTAAAACTGAAAGTGAATTCTAAAGTCATTGGATATCAGAGTATTACAAATTTAACCAAGAAGGAAGTTTCCAGAGTTTAGCTTAACTAACCAATGAAAGAAATTAAATAGAAATCTCTCTATCTCTCCCAGTATTATAATTCAAAGGGTTTGAGGCTTCCCCAAAGACATATGGGAAAGCAATAAGTTCTAACTATACAAAATTAGAGGTGGGCACAAACCTCGGAGGTTCACACCTGTTCGTACTTGGGGTGATGCACGTTCTCTTTCCCCACCTCCCTGGCCAATGACCCACTCGCCTGTCAGAGCATACACTCCTCCTCCTTTTCCGTTGCCTAACCAGGGTTGCCTGTCCTGCCTCCTTGTCTGAGTGGTCCATCAGCCAAGGAGGCAGAGCAGGGAAGCCCATGCTCATGCCAGGGACTGATTAAGCAGCTGAGGAGGAGAAGGAGAAGAGCATGTGCCGACTGGTGATGGGAGGATCCAACTGGGGAGGCGGGGAAAGGGAACAGGTGGTGCCGTGTGTATAAACCACCACAAACCTCTGAACCAAACTTCATGACCATCTCTATACAAAATGTTAATGGGAATAGAAAATGCCTTTTGAAAACACCACACACATAATCCATATAGTACATCTGTATTGTTACATATCTAATTGGGCAGTTCTACCTTTTTGCAGAACTATGCCCAAACATTAATAGGCAGCATCAGTATCATAATCAAGATTATGTTTGCATAAATGGTGGGGTTTTGTTATGTTACTGTATATTTTTTTAGTCTGTGGGGGGAGGTGTGTGTGTGCCTTGAAACAGCGATCAGCCCTCTTCTCACCTTCATGGGTCTTTGTATTCTGCAGGTGTTGTACAAAGAGAATACAGGGCAAGGAACTCCAGTCCCACTTACTCCAGAGATAGAACGTGTCAAACGCAATCAAGAACACATTAGCTCGGTATTTCTCAATGGAATCAAATCTCCCTTAACCACTCATCTTTTCCAAATAATATTCTAACTTCCATTCTCTCCATTCTACTACATTTTTCTGACTCATCCTTCCTCTTGATGTGCTTTAACCCTTTTAATCTTCAACTTTGTGCACATTGGAATATCTTTTTTAAAAAGGAGAAGAACAAGAAGAAAGTGAGCTATGACAAATGACACCTACGGTCTTCATTCAGATTAACAGCATTCGTCCCTTTCCACACATTGGCTTCCCTTAACTTACTACTTTTGACTTCCATTTTCATTCACATGTTTAATGAATAATCTAATCATCCTTCCTGGCTTTCTTTCACTTTTCAATACTAGTCCAAGCATGGGATTTAATCCTGCGCTGTTACTACAATGTACTAGTCACAATTCAGCCATAAGAATGTCATCTATTTTTGGTGCCTTTTCTGGATCCTTTATTGTACCCTCACAGGTGGCTTACAAAGAAAATTTAGGGACAGGGATGGCAACTCCTGTTACCCCGGAAATGGAGAGAGTCAAGCGTAACCAGGAGAACGTTAGCTCGGTATAGCGTGAAATTTCTATCAAGAAACCCTTTTAACCAGCAGACACCCCATGCTAGAATCCATCTGATATTTTAATCCTTCCACAAGACTTTGAATATCAACCCCTCCCCATTTTAAACCACTAAAATGTTAGTAACTGAAGTGGCAATTGAAAACACTAACTATACCTTGCAGTTCTGAGGTGATTTGAAACTTTTCCTTTTTTAAAATCACATTTCTTTCTTTCCCCTGCCTGTACTCATATAAGATAATATTACCTTTTATTTTAAAAACAAATGATATTCAAAGTGGATTCCTCATTTCTTTATAACAGGAAATGTCTCTAAATAGCTTTTGGCATCCCTATATTGATGCAGTGCAAAGTTGAAAATAAAACACTAACAAGTTTTTCACCAAAGGAGGATTATGAAACGTTAACTTTGTTATGTTTTATTCCTAATGAATATTAGCATTCAAAAACTGTTTTAGATCTTTTGACTGGAAAACAAAAATATACAGGATATTATATCATTTTCCTTGGAATAAATTCTGCCACAAATGTGGGCGTGTACTTAGCCTCCCATTTTTATACATACACATCATAGTCTCACATTGCACGGTGGAAGAGAAGACATTAGGTTCAAAGTCTTCTTTACCTCAAGACCATAGTAGATAAAATCATATGAAAACAGTATTTTTAGATGGGGGCCCTGATGTACACCTGTGGATAGGAACAGTTGAATTAGGACATAGTTTTTGTTTTTCATAATACTCTGATTTTTATAATCAAATGTGGTGTGCAGACAGTTTTCTTTGTGTTTTATTTTGGACCTGTGTTGTAGATTCTGTGAGGAACTGTAGCAAACTGCACTGCATTCTTTGTACTGGTTACATATTTGAATATTTGCCACTTAAAGCTTTTTTTTTAAACACTCCCTTGTTTCACAGGTTTTGTACAAAGAGAATTTAGGCTCTGGAACTCCAACACCTATTACTCCAGAAATGGAGAGAGTCAAACGCAATCAAGAAAACTTTAGCTCGGTATTTTTATAATTAAAAATGCCCTTTAACATTATTCAGCTTGTAATTAACCATTAGAAGTGTGATTCCTCCTTAAAAACATAAAATATCTTCTTTTTAAAATCATTGATTCTAGTAACTGAGCTACTCTATTTGTGATTTTCCTACTTTCACTTACCATTATCTCTAGATACGTAACTCTTCCCTTAAAAATGAATGGGACTTAAAAGAGCCCTGTCTGTGCTGCATTGTAAATTAAATTAATTCTGTTGTGATATTACTTTATGTCAATATTATATTCCAGACCAAACTTCACTGGTTTGTTGTTGTTGTTTTAGAGTATAAGTTGGTTCAGAGTTTTTGCTGACAGCTACATACTTTCCTGGAAGTACAGAGTATAAGTTGGTTCAGAGTTTTTGCTGATATGAGGTTGCAAACAGCTACATACTTTCCTGGAAGTACTTCCAAAAAGGTCTTACTTCTTAATAGGAAAATATAGTAATTTTCTGTTTTATAAGTGGAAGTAGGATTGTGGTCTGACTGTAAGCCAAAATGAACTCAGCCAGAGTTACTTCTGAGTACATATATGTAAGGCATGAGATTAGTATGGCTGATCTGTGTCCTCTGAGGTGTTTGGTAAATGTTTTCACCTAGGACTCCGAAGTTCTGGGCTCAAACGTCCACTCAGCCAGAGTAACCTTTGGCTGCAGTCATAATTTCCCTGCCTGACTTACCTCATGGAGTCGTTATGGTGATAAAAGTGGGAGGAAGGAGAACCAGCAACTCTGTTTTTGGGCTCATGCGAAGAAAGGTGGGATATAAAAGTGACAAATGGTGGTGACAGGATAAACATGTATAACTGATCTCCAGCAGTTGACATATACGTTAACGCCAAATATTGGAAAAGGCTTTGGGGAACTGAAGAAAAGGAAAACTGTCCTCTGATGTTTTAGAAGAAGGGTTACGTGAATTCAATAAAACTGTAGATGTGTGATGTATTTAACAAGATAAAGCTCCCTTTTCACCTGATTAAACTTAGCATTTCAATCATAATTGTTAGGCGTTCATTCTACCCTTTACTTACAACTGACTTGTAAAATCTAGCGTATTATCTTATTAAGTTTTTCATTTTTGTTTACATTTTTGCTCTCATGTTTTTTAACTCAATAATCTCCAATATTTTAACCACATTTCTTCATTATCCTCAAACTTTCTCTTTGTTAAACTTCCTCATTTTTTAAAGTCACTATTGTTTTCATGTGATGTCATAAAAAGCTCATGGTCTGAATCTCCAGCTGGGTTTAACAAAAGATAGAGCATGTTGTAAGACCAAAATTCATCTCCCAAGGGCTAGTGAGAAATATCATTTTGTAACCAATATTTTTGGATTGAAGAATAAGACCTGCGAATCATTTGTATCTTATGCAACTCGAAGCATGCTTGAACATTTACAATTAATGTTGGCTGCAATTCTAGATTCACATACATGTTACATTTCTGCCCCCTGTAAATGTTGAACTTGTAATATCTTTCACAGTGGTTTCTTTGCTCTCTTCTTGGCTACTTCTTGCATTATTTCTGCACATGCCTTATAGGAAGAAGTGTGTGAACTATCCTGTTAAGAATCTAGAAACTGAAAAATCTGCAGGAACACCTACTGATAAAAGAAGAATTTTTTAATGAACATAAAATGTTCCTACATAAATTCAAGCTTTATCCACTGTCCAAACTTAAAATTCATCCTTAGCACCACATTTTTGATCATGGAATCTCAAAACTTTCTTAGTTCCTTGCATCTGATCCATTCGTTTACTTTTAATTCTAATTTATTAAGCACAGTCTTGAATCTCCCATAAAAATTCTGGGAATCAAAATTCTCTGAATCTGGCTAGATGATACCATTTTTACATCACATATATGCACCCATCTTGAAATGTAGCAGGATAGAAAAAGCAAAAAACCACAGGAAACATATTGTAGAAATATGACATGGCAAGCCATTCACTTCACAACTTTCAAAGTATTACACTCAGACCCATGAGGTTTAAGGCTATCTCTTTCTGGGGCAGACTCTAATTAACAGCTCTTTTCCTCCCTTTATTATTTTTTTTACCCCTTTGTTACCTCACAGGTCTTATACAAAGAAACGCTGGGGACAGGAACCCCAGCTCCTGTCACTCCAGAGATCGAGAGAGTCAAACACAACCAGGAAATCTTTAGTTCGGTACTTTTGGAAAAGCAGCTACTTTGATGCTGTTTGTAATACAAATCATCTTTCCACCTGCCATCCTAGTTTATTCCCGATGAAAGCTTTATATATGTTGTGCAATCCTTTTCTTTGCCTTACATCATTTACGACACCTAGTGTCACGTTATGGAACTTTAACCTTCCCTTCCTTCCTCTATTTTATTTTTAGATTCCTTCCAAAACATCCATTTTCTTATAACCCTGATTGTTTTGCATTTGTGCATGCTACCCTGTTTCCCCGAAAATAAGACCTAACCTGAAAATAAACCCCAGGATGATTTTTCAGGATGCTCGTAATATAAGTCCTACCCCCAAAATAAGCCCCGGTTAAGTGAAACCCCGCCCTCCACCATTGTGCAGCCACCAGAAGAAGATATGACTGTAAACTAAAACATCCCCTGAAAATAAGCCCTAATGCATTTTTTGGAGCAAAACTTAATATAAGACCCTGTTTATTTTCGGGGAAACATGGTATACACAGACTGTTTTATTTTCGGGGAAACACGGTATACACAGATGCAAAACAATCATAATAATAGAAATAATAATAAATCCAATTATTCACACAACAGTGATACATTAAACAAAACTAGTGTTTGCTTCCTCCAGATTAAACGAAAAGACTTGATGCATTGTTTCCAAACTCTTAACACAAAAAATTTGAGCAAAATAACCGTTTCCCAATTAAATCTACCCTAGAGCTTCAGTAACGCAAATAGGATATTTTATTATTATTATTATTGCCTCATTTGGCTGCTCTTCTGTCCTGCAGGTGTTGTACAAAGAAAATGTAGGGAAAGCAACTCCAACCCCTGTCACTCCTGAGATGGAGAGAGTCAAACGCAATCAAGAACACATTAGCTCGGTATTCAAAAGAAGGAAAAGAAAAAAAAGAAACTTCAGTTCTTGAAAATAACTTTAGACGTGTTGATGATTTATGCTTTCTAACCAAAAAAAGAGAGCCAATTCACTTCTTAGCACAACATGCCTACCTCCTGTTTCGAGCCTTCCCTTCCTACTTAAGCTTTAACATAGTAGTACTAGGGCTTGACTCATCATTTTAATTTTCTGGCAAACACAGAAATGTTCATTTTTTAATATATATATTTTCAAGCTTTCCAACTTTCTCATCCTACTAGATTCTTTCCAATAAGGCTGATTGAAGGTCTCTGTTTCAGATGACACTAAAATCAACTGGCCACTAGCTTTATTGGAAGCTGGTGTGGTCCAAGTATTAACAGTGTTTGAGCTATTAATATTTATTTCTGATCAGTGCTATTTGGTGATCTCTGGATACCATTTTGTATCCTGTAGGTCTTGTACAAAGAAGGCCTGGGGAAAGGTACCCCGACACCTGTCACTCCTGAGATGGAGAGAGTCAAGCGCAATCAAGAACACATTAGCTCGGTATTCAAAAAGACCAAGTGGAGGACTCTGTGTGTGTGTTTGTATGTGTGTGTGTGTGTATATAGACTGGAGTGATTTATTAAATAACATTATTGGATGTATGTAATACGTCCTATCTAACTAAAAACAGTACTCTTTCACTTCTTGGCATACCACTACCCTTTAAACTGTTTCTGCTCCTGAAGCTATAACACAATAGCACTAGGATTTAACTTACTGTTTTCTTTTATTATTATTTTTTAAGCCAACACTGTGCTTGGTTTGTATTTTCTTTGTCCAATGGACTCATTATTTTCTTGTATGGATATTGATTGAAAGTCTCTGTTCTAGATGATACAAATCAATAACCCGCCAGCTTTCCTGGGAGCCGGTGTGCTCCGAGCATTAACATTATAAACTGCTAATATCTATTTGCAATCATTGCCATTATATGATTTCTGGATACCCTTTTGTACCCTGTAGGTCTTATACAAAGAGGGACTGGGGAAAGGTACCCCAACACCTGTCACTCCTGAGATGGAGAGAGTCAAGCGCAATCAAGAATTCATTAGCTCGGTACATTGAGGAAAATCTGTGGTGTTTCTTTAAATAATAACATCTTAACAAACTACAGAAAAATTTCCCCTCTAATATCTAAAATCCTACTTTCTTATTTAAAATACTGATCCTTATATAAAATACTCACCTTTACTCATGAAATAATTTAGATAATATTAATATTCTGACAGTAACATTTAAATAGCTGTCATAACCTTGAAATGATGACTATAGGACTCTATCCAGCCAGACTCTAGAATGTTGATCAATATCACTTACTTTTTGAGACAAACCCTGTGCAAATTAGTGTTCAAATAATTACTATAGCTATAAGAAGAAGACATGTTTTGTTTTACATTAACCCTTTAATCACATTCTTAGGTAAGTACCAGGTATTCAATCAGAGTTACAGAAACATAAAAATGCAGCATTTACTCTTATCTGCCATTCGTAGTTGTTCCAAAGAGTAGCACAGGAGGAAAAGGTAACACGATTTCATTAGTGCTGTTCCTTTCTAAACTGGTTCCCTGCTGGTAGTGGCTTTCTAGAGAATGGGCACTAAACTAGCTTTTGATGCATGGACACAAAATTAAGTCTTCAGAAAGCTCTGCGTTCATGATTCAGGACTTGCTGCAATACACAGGAAGGAATCTGCAATTCTGAGACTCCATCTCAAAAAGTGGTCATGTAGTAAGTGTGGAAGGGACTGTCACTCTCCAACTGGCCTTCTCAGCCACACTAGACACAAGTTTAGAGCACGTTACCATAGTCTCTCGAGACTGAAGGATGCCTAATCTAAGTGAGATGCACATTGTCTCCTCATTAGAAGCACATGCATCTCTTTGTCATCAGAACCCTCAAAGGCCATTAAGCACCTCTTAATCCTGGAAGAGCAAAATGTCTCCTTAATTCAATCTTGGCCTAAGGAAGGCTAACTCATTCAACGTCAGTCTTCCTCCCTTTCTTCTCAGCTCAACAAGTCCTTTCCTGTTATATCAATAAATGCCAAAGAACAAAACAAAATCAAACTGATGTTTGCCATAATCTTCACTGGTTTTCTCAATTGGCCTTTGTGGCCAATTGGCCTTTGTGGCTCTTACCATCCCCGGGGTCTCTTCATTGCCTGTCTCTCCCATGTTGCTTAAACAGCATCATCTGTAGCTTGGGCTCGCTGTCCTGCCCCACTGTCCATCCCACTCCCCACCAGGCACTTCTGGAAAATGGTAATAGCCTTCAGGGAAGCAACGTTAGCAGCTAGCCGAGCAGAGTTGTACACATGTGCTTTCACTGACAGTATCTTATTGTGCAGGATTGAGAAAGAGAAAATTCGATATCAGGCGTTTCTCCTCTCCTCCTTCAGTATCCCAAAGTGGCCCACTGAAGAGACAAACTGGCCACCTGAGTGATTTACCAGTAGCATTTTTTAAACAGGAAAAAGAGCCCTAAGTAGTTGATGGACACCCAAGATACTCTTGTTTTTAAACCAGTGAAACCATCATTTCATTGATAAGGAATAGCTGATAGATAGTAATGGATGCTGCTAACTGGATAGAGTCTTATCTTTCAAGTAATATTAGTTTTAATTACTTCACATTCCTAATTTACTCTGTAAATATTCTGTTGTGGTTTTTTTTTTTTTTTGATGTTTCGTTTAGCATTGCATTTGTCTGTCAAAAAACAGTTGATTCCTGAGTGCAACTTTTTGACTATATCATTTGTGTATGACTAGTGTTTGTCAAAGAAGTGAGATGTGACCTCAAGCAGTGTAGAGGTGGGAAGATTAAAATGGATATTGCATTTCCTCATGTGTCTGATTTCAGTGGTACCTAGTGTGCTTCTAGACAAGGCTGTTAGCTTGCTATTGCCCCACCTGAGACACAGAATTTCATAGGGTGGTGTTGGTTGTGGTCCAGATGTTCCTGAATTCAGTTTGTAACCCTTCTGCATCATGTGACAACTTCTAACAAGACAAGGATCCAATAAAGGCAGAAGAGATGAAATAAGTGCTCTATGGCTAGGATCCTGTTGCTAGTCCCAACCAAAAGAGGACCCATGCAATCAGTTGCTGAATGTTTAGTCAACCCCTATGTAAATCCTATTGCATCAGTGGGACTAGCAAAAGGATAGTGGCTTGCATCTGTTGAATGGTAGTATTAAGAGACCTCTGGGACCACCTCCAGTCTCACACAATTGTGTGGAAGATCATAAACATAGTTAAGGACATATAGGCTCCTGTGTGGGCTAGGGTAGAGATTTTTATGAAAGCTGGTTTCAATTTCAGCTGTCAGTTTTACACTGAACATTATATAGTTTTTATTATCATCAGTTTTTATCTCCCTTGTACCTATTTTTGAGAATTTGTCTCCCATTATTTCCCCCCCCCCTCAGAAGTACTATTTTATATGAATGATATTTTGTGATTTTTTGGGTACTTTCTACAATCTTTAGGTCTTGTACAAAGAAAATCTGGGGCAAGCAACCCCAACATCTGTCACTCCAGAGATGGAAAGAGCCAAACGCAATCAAGAAAACGTTAGCTCGGTACTGAAAGAAAAACAAAACCTGTTTTTAATTAAAAAGAAAAGAAAAGGAAATGATGTTTTCTAAAAGAATAACACATCTGATCAACCTTGTCCTGCGTATAATTTATCCCAGTCTCACCTATTTTCATATTACTAAGAAAACACTCCTTATATTTCTTTTTCATTTTTGTTACTGTGTTTTTAAAAGATGTTATCCTTCCTCCCCTTTTTTCTTTTTGCTTAATCTAACTTTTTAATCGTTTTATTTCTTGAATTTTTGATCCTCACCCGCCATGCTGCATATGATTAAACAGTAACACGACTAAACACAGTGGTTCACCAACCGTCATCTAATTTTTGATTTCTGGACACTTTCTTGTATGCTGTATAGGTGTTGTACAAAGAAAGCATGGGAAAAGGAACTCCGACATCTGTCACTCCAGAGATGGAGAGAGCTAGACGCAATCAAGAAAACATTAGCTCGGTATTTTTTTCAGGAGAACAAATTGATGATCTAGAATATATGCATTTTTAACACCTTAAAAAGTATAATCCTTTTCTGTCTTTAAGTTAAAAATACTGGCCAATGATTAACTTTGTAATTTATTAATTTCATTTATTTTAACCTATTAATTTTAATTTATTAATATAGTGTAAGTTATTAATATTATTATAGCTTTATTTTTGACTGTTAAAATATTAAAATACCACTTAAACATATAACATTTCTAATTCTAATCCCCCCTAGTGGTGTAGCAATTAGATTTAATACATAGTTTTAGGATTCTAAAGTAACCATTGATGTCAAATAACAGTTTAACCATCTAAAATGTTCCTATTATCTTACCTTTCAGTTACTTACATCATGTGGACTTTGGTTCTGTGTTGTAGTTCCCTTTGTTTTAACTATTTTTTATTTTATTTTAAAAAACTGTCTGCATTGTACCTAAATACAATTTCTGAGCAGGGATCCCCGTGGCTGGCTCAAAAGGAGGCAAGTTGTGGTAAACCTCTTGGTTCTGTAGCCCACAGGTCTAGTCTGAGGGAGCTGGACCCTCAGATGCTGGTCTTTGCTTTTATCGGGTGCTGGGTTTCATTTAAATACTGTAGATTGGAATTTACCTTCATTATGTTTCTTCATGATCTATGAAAAAATAACTGGGCGCACAGTATCTCCTTGGTGTCAAGTTTACATGAAAAGGATATGGAAATACTTCCCCCACAATGCTGGAATCCTCATTCCTTCTACTTTAGCTGAAGCTTTCAGCCTGTGAAATGTGGCTGATGTGCTTTCCGGAGACCTTGCTTGGGCTTGGTTTTGGCACCTAGGGTGGAGCAGGGTAGTTTTATTTTGACATAGAATGGTACACTTCGCTGACATTTTACTAGGAGAGTCTCCATTTCCCTGTGGTGGTTCATGGGCTGTTTCTAACAGAACCATTTGAAAATGAACCGAACAAAGTACATAGCTACATAATTCACTGCTGCTTGGGACTTGAACTGCAAAATGCCCTTTGTCTTCCTGAGTGATGATTGTAATTAATACATCTTACTGACGATTTAGTAACTCATTACATGGACTCATAGGAATCCAGTCTTAGATCTTTAGTAAATATAGAATAATAGACCCCTTTCTCGTACTTTCTTTTAAATACCTTGGAATATCTTAGAAACAGGCTAGGGTATTTGCCAAGCACTGAGGCTAAGCAAAACATAAATGAATAAATAATTTTAAAAAATCCACTTCCCAGTGGAAACCAAGGAGAGCAAATTTGTTTTTAAAGTCAAGTGAAGCATGAAATGAGCCAACTAAAATGTCTCAGGAATATACAATCCTGACTGAAAAATTTAAAGTAACATACCGACCTAGCTGGCATGTGAGGGAAGCCCTGGCAGAGTCCAATCCTGCTCATACATGGCTTGTAACTGGTACAGGGCAGACCTCCCTAAAATGGTGAGCTTAAGAACCCCTGCCTGATCCTCATTAGCCAGCAATGGTCCTGTTTTTGTTTGTTTGTTTGTTTGTTTTTTGACACTCAAGGGGAAAAGAGACATTTCTTTGTTCCCACAAAAGACATTCCATTGGGAGGCATGAACCTCTTTGCCCAGTGAGGCCAATTCAACCTGCCCAGTCATGCCTGGGATGGCTCAGCCCCATGTTTCTTGCAGATCCCTAGTTAACCTGAAGCTGAGACACAGGAATGAAGGGGAAGAGGCGCCCTGGAAAAGGCAGTGGTGCCTAGTGCTGTTTGGCCATGTCTGGCTGTGTCTGTTCAGAGTGTCTACCACAGGAAGGAAGGTGGAGCTGGGTTTATCATACTGTTACTTCTGGTGCCATCCACCTAGAAATTTCAAGGGTATGGTGGATTAAGGTCTGAGAAAATCAATCAACCTGCCGTTTGGAATTGGTGAAAGGCAGTGGAAACAGGTGCACTTCTAGTTAACACAAGCTGTTTGCCACACTCTTTGAGATGTCTTCATCCATCCTTCATTCCATATCCATTCTATGTGAAATATCTTTTCAAATCTCTAACTGGCTGGATCCCCTTTACTGACACTCTCTCATTTTGTCAGGTCCTCTATTCAGATAGTTTCCGGAAACAAGTACAAGGTAAAGCAGCTTTTGTCCTGGATACCCCTGAAATGAGACGTGTTCGGGAGACACAGCGACACATTTCCACGGTAAGTACAGCTGTTTCTGAGGCTCAAAAGTTTTTGATTTTGAGCACAAGGAAACCACCATTGCAATTTACAAAGCAACATTCAGTGTTGAAATCCAGTTGTTCTGAGCACAACATTAAGAGGAAAAAGCTGGAATCAATTTTTTGTGGTCACAGAGTATGCAGGCGTTGGGTGTACCTCACACTGTTAACACATTTCTGAACTAGGAGGTGACACAAGGTAAGCAGAAACACAAATTATATAATCAGGCAGAGGTGGGGAGCAGAAAGGAAACGAGATCAGACTCTTTCATCTGCAGCCTTCCAGGGCCCAAAGTACTACACAGAGCCTTTCCATAATAAACGTCACTCCCTGCTTCCTCCCCAGATGATACAGCTTTGATTTGGATTCCTGCATTGAGTAGGGGGTTGGCCTCGATGGCCTCGTAGGCCCTTCCCAACTTTGATTTTATTCTATGATTCTCTCCACGAAGCAAAACACTCTCTTCCAGTGTCTCCAGGAGTTCTTGGAAACACTGGCTGAAATCAGGAGAAGGAACCCCCACTGTCTCCGGTTGGTTATAAGAATGGGGGTTGCCTGGAAATCTCCACCATTTTCTGTAATGAGTAATCTGAGGGGCCTCCTTTCCCATTCGAAGGGACAAGGTTTTGGCCTGAAGTGGTCAGGGTTAGGCTTGTGGGCTGCAGGTTCCCGTACCCAGATTTAAGATAAATCTGCAATAAGCCCGTCATTGTCTTATAAATTCCAGGTGAAATACCATGAAGATTTTGAGAAGAGCAAAGGCAGTTTCACACCAGTAGTTACAGATCCCATAACAGAACGCGTAAAGAAGAACATGCAGGACTTCAGCGATATCAACTACAGAGGCATTCAGAGACGAGTTGTGGAAATGGAGCGCAAGCGGACAGACTATGACCAAGAGCTGAATAACTACACTGGTATGTTATGCTGAATTGTGCCTTGTAAATTGATCTCATAAAACCTGTTCATAGTTAACCATAGATGGCAGAAAATTGTAGAGCTATGATTTCACAACCAATTACTTCTGTCACATTAGGTTGGTATAACTTGGCACCAGCCCTGAATCCTGTACCGCTCATTGTTTCCAGTTAACTAAATCTGCCTGGACAAATCACTTCTTCCTAGCACTCACCAATGCAACCTTGTGTTTTTCCAAGGAGACTCATGGAACTAACTCACATGAAGCACTTCTATGCTTAGATGAATCACCTAGCCCAGTATTGTGTATTCCTGAAACACCACTGCATACAGTGGGGTCTTGACTTAAGAACGGCTTGAGTTAAGAACATTTTGACTTAAGAACCGCTCTCATAGGAAAATATTGACTTGACTTAAGTACTTAGATTTGAGTTAAGAACTGAAAAAAATCCACGTGGGAGGCAGGAAAAGTGCAAAAAGTGAACTTTCAGTTAACTGTTGGCCAGTGAAAAGGGTGCCTGTCTGCTTCCTCACTCCTCCCAGTGTTTAGAGAGTGGATTGGGAGACAGTCTTCAGACTGCCTGGTGCTGTACTGCCTGGACTGTATTTTCCCTGCCTTCCCTGAACCTTTCTTGACCTAAGAAAAAAAGAAACAAAATATCCCCCTCTAGTGGTCGAAGGCAGAATAGCAGCTTCCCATTAGTTTCTATGGACGGAAAAGAGCAGATACGGATCAAATGGTTGTCAATGCATTCCTATGGGAAATGCAGATTTGACTTGAGAACTTTTTGACTTGAGACCCGCCTTCCAATACGGATTAAGTTCTCAAGTCAAGACCCCACTGTAATCTGAATTTGGCCTAACCCCTTAGATTATCATTCTGAACATTCTGCTGGCATAGAATGTGATAGCCACGCTCTTTTTGTCAGTGGGGCACCTGGAACACACAGTTGCCAGGTGCCAGAGACAGAACCTTGTTCATCCCCCACACAAGTTCATCTGCCACTGATGTAGGGGGATCACCTCTAATGATGTTGTTGCTGTCATTAACAATGTTGTTAACAGCAATTTTGTTGCGGCTGTTAACTGCAATAGGATATAGAAAAAAATATGTTCTCTCCTGTTGATCAAGCATTTCAGCCAAGTCATATTTCAACTGTGGGTTGTAAAAGGATTTCTTAAATATATATTTTGCCTTTTAGATTCCAGAATTAGATTTCAGGTGTGTGAATGCTACAAATACTCATTTTTGAACATTTTGGTTTTAGACGTGAAAGGGGGGAAATCTTGGACACAATGGGCTGGGATCCAATGGGATGGTTTTACTGACAGGCTGCTTTTGGCAGCTGAATCAGGCAAAGAATGATCCCCATTCCTGCCTGCAAGCTCCCGTGCACCCTCAAACTGGCCAGGAGATTCCCAGGAGCTGGTGGATGGCACACAGGGCTGCAGGGAGGAGGAGGAGGAGGAGGAAAGAGAGCAAGGCAGTATTCCAGTGCTATCAGACACCCATGGGCATGATGACATAGGCCAGCTTCACTGCCAGTGACATGTCTTTTGCAGATCTTCGTGTGTGGCGGACTAATCCTGGATCAGTGTTTGACTATGACCCAGCAGAAGACAACATTCAGTCTAGAAGCTTACACTTGATCACTGGTAGGTTGGCCAGTCTTTGACTGCATGGGGGTTGATTTGGATGGATGCAAGGTGTGATATTTCTACAAGCTTTACAGGTTAACTATCATCAAATATACTGTCACCTTATTCAGATTTGTAGATCATTTCCCTTCTAGCTGAATATACTGATGTCATGGGTGACATGGTCCCCCTCCCTCTAATTTCTGTGTCTCCGATACCCAGTTCAAGCCCAGCGACGCAGCCGAGAGCAATCCCGCTCTGCCAGTGCACTCAGCCTCAGTGGTGGGGATGAAAAATCTGAGCATTCAGAGCCAGCTGACCAGCACCTGTCCTATTACAGCAATGGAGGCTTCTATACCACAACGGCCACAGGTACAAGAAGCGGAACACTTCTATCAGTACAGTGGGGGACCCAAAGAAATTGCAGAGCAGGGAAGGAAGAAGATCCATGGCAAAGTTCAAAGGCCTTTGACTCTTGATATATTTGAAGTTAAATTATAAAACATAGCAGTGCATCTTCATGGTTCCTCCTTGAGCTCCATCATGGTGGCTCTGGACAAACCAATCACTTGTGCTCAAGAACAAAGCTAGAAGAATTCCCCTCCATAAATAGCATACTTAAAGGCTTGCTGCCATTGCAAAGTGTAGTAAGGGTGGGAGTTACACAAAGCTATCGTTAAGGGACATCATTATGCAGAAGTGGAAGCAACTGTGCATGGATCTATCAAGTGGGTGAGACTGAGAATCCTGCGGCAGACTGGGGAAATGCTGCCCTTTTGCCAGCCAGGTAGCACAAAACAAGTGATTTTGAAAGATAACCTTTGCAGGTCATTTTGTAGCTTGATTACAATGTACAGCTGCCATACCAATTGGGAACTGACAAATATAAAGCAACTTTATAATACTGTTGTCGCGACTGCCACCTCCTCCTACGTCACCACAAGAGATGACAGGTCACGATCCTCCACACACACATACACACTTCGCTGCCACCAACCACACATAAACCTGACACTTCAGACTTTGTATGGATTTCAAAATAAAAATGATGTTTTATTGATTACAAAAATAAAATGGAAATCACTGGGTAAAAGAATCACTTGTCAAACTATATTTCTCAGTACACAAAGCTATCGTTAAGGGACATCATTATGCAGAAGTGGAAGCAACTGTGCATGGATCTATCAAGTGGGTGAGACTGAGAATCCTGCGGCAGACTGGGGAAATGCTGCCCTTTTGCCAGCCAGGTAGCACAAAACAAGTGATTTTGAAGGATAACCTTCGCAGGTCATTTTGCAGCTTGATTACAATGTACGGCTGCCATACCAATTGGGAACTGACAAATATAAAGCAACTTTGTAATACTGTATATCGCTATAGCTGTAGAATAAGTATGTGCTGTCTTGTGGCAACCCTTCTCAGGGTTTTCTGGGTATAAAGTGGTTTCCCATTCCCTTCTTCTGGGGGCGCCCTGGGATGGTGCAGTTTGCTTAAGGCCACACAGGCTGGCTCTTCTCATGGGAGGCACACTGTGGGGGATTGAACTCCTGGCTTGGGTTCTGCAGCCAGGTGCCCCACCTTACTTCAGCTATCCAGTTGGCCCCAGGTGTAAAAAGTAGTGATGAATTCCATGGAAGGGAAATGGACTCTGACCCTCAGCATTTCTGTGATGGCCGGGTCCACCTGGTAATAGCAGTTTATCTGACAAGAGTAATGTGTCGTCACCCAGAGGACATGACCCCCAAGGGGGTTGTGAAGTATTTTCTGGGGGCAGGGTTGCGGGTCACCTTATATGTGTTTTGTAGCCTTTGTTAAATAATTTCTTCCTTGACAATAGGGAGTGGCATAATAAAGTTAAATGTGTATGTGTATGTATGAAAAACAGGGTCTTTAGGGGAGAAAGAAGCCTCTACTTTCTGAGAGGGGATGACTTTATCCCATTACAAAAGGATTTTTATGCAGACATGGTGGGGGGGGAGGGTTGCAGTTTACTTGACTATTATAACAGGAGGTTGGGACTTGAAAAAAGTTGGGGGGCCTGCAATCTCAAATAGCTCATCCCTGTGTTAATGAACCACTGGCTGAAACTCTGTTGCTTAATGTAATAAGTTACAATAGAGTCGCCCACTAAATTACTGGAGATTTGGTGGGTCAACTGTTCCTTAATTCCACTGATTCAAAAGGGCCTACTCTGGTTGCAGTTTACTATGCTAAAGTTGCCACTGGTCATTTTGTCTGTTACGTGTACTCTCCTCTAGTCCTGAAGTCTACCACTGTGGGGATATGTATGAGTATAAGAAGGCACATACTTCCTTTCCTTGTGTCTGAAAAAGAGAGTTTTGATCCACCAGGTGAAGTGCCTGCTGAAATACATTACTGTAGTTAGTCCTTAAAACACCACAGGACTTTTGCCATGTTGTTCTCTCCTTCCCCCGCCTTTTCTATTTTCCCTATTATTTTGCCACCATGCTGAAATTTGTACACGGCCTCTTTTTGCATTTGGAAATTTGTAGAAAGATCCACATCATTTTATGTTACAGAGTCATCAGCTTACATCAATTTTGTGCCCATTGTTGTCATGACTGCATGAAATACCACCAGCACCCAGCCCCATTCTAACACTTTCTAGTCTTCTGAAACCATTTTATTCTGAGTATGGGTTGCAAATGGAGGCATCTGTTGATTCTTCTTGTCTTCTTCTCTTACCATTCAAACTCATTGCCTTTTCTAGTGGACTACAAACATGCTAAAACCGTAGAGCTGCCTCAACAAAGATCCTCTTCTGTTGCCACTCAGCAGACCACCGTATCTTCCATTCCCTCACATCCTTCCATTGCTGGGGTAAGCATCATCAGTTACTATCCAGCAAGGGTGATCTTGGCAGAGCAAAAGATTTTTCCGCACGCAGGCTATCTTTCTGAATGAGTCTCTGTGTGTAACAGGCTGCTGTGCTGAGACACGGTGGGGAAATTCTTGGTCTATCTGAATGATACCTGAATCACTTTTGTTAGCCTCGAAGGTAAGTTTAGTTGTAGGGGTGAAGGGCTAACCTCAAGGCACACTTGAACGTCCTCCTCTGAGAGAGTATCTGTGGTACCACAGTTAGCAGCACCTGTTATGTGTTGGACAGGATGATCCCAATGTGCATCAAATGCTCCCTTTAAAATTTTGCTGTTTAAAGAGTTCACCCTGACACAATCCTTGGATGAACTCAAGATTTTCTTTCTTTCTTTCTTTCTTTCTTTCTTTCTTTCTTTCTTTCTTTCTTTCTTTCTTTCTTTCTTTCTTTTTTTCTTTCTTTCTTTCTTTCTCTCTCTCTTTCTCTTTCTCTCTCTCTCTCTTCTTTTCTTTCTTTCTTTTCAACAATGGCCAACACAGAAGACATACCGTGCGATGTACGACTACACAGCAGCTGATGCAGATGAGGTCTCCTTCAAAGATGGCGACACGATTGTCAACGTTCAAGGCATTGATGAAGGTTGGATGTACGGCACTGTGCAAAGAACAGGGAAGACAGGCATGCTCCCAGCCAACTACGTGGAAGCCATGTAAGCCAAAAAGGAGGCAAGCTTCCGTGCAGCATATTGACAGGGAGAATAAAAAAGGCACCTTACCCATTTATCCACTATAATCCTTAACAGACCCGCTCCGGTACCTGTTTTCCTATGTTGATATGCGTTCATTTCTTGTGTGAAAATTGGAGCCATCATTTGCCATCAGAACCAAATTCTTAAAGATTCTGGTCACAGAACAAGGGGAAAACATCACCCTATCTTTCTCTACCATTACCTTGAATTAGCTGGACTTACACCAAAGGGAAATATATGTATTTTTTGTCCATCTCAGTTCCATCCTGTCATCTTTTTTTTTTTGAATTGTGTGGTATTTTCACACTCTTCAATTTTATGAACACAAAACATGCAGTGTTGATTTTAATGGTTTTCTTCTGAAATGACGTAGTGTTCTCCTATGAGATCTTTAAAATAGCTGTCTGTATTTATTTCTGTTTCAAGTAAGCAAACTATATCATAAAGCTTGTCATCTCAAACCAGTAAATACGTGGAAAAGCCTCTCCTCTGGTCTATTTAGAGAACGCTGGTGCATGCCTTTTCTTCCTGAGTGTTCTGGACTCACAGTGCTGTTATTCCCTCACATTAGTGACTAATAAATTTCACACTCCTGCATATCTGTTTATGTGCATAATTTGTGTTGACAATGTGTGTGTGTGTGTGAGGGGGGAAGCATTATGAACAGTAATGATACCCCCCCATTACGGAGGATTGGGAGGGATCTTGTGATGAAATAGAAGCGGTATCTCTAATCCTGGGAGGAGTAAACAGCTGCCATTACTAGTAGCTTAGCCTCTGTGAATTTATTCTCCTTGAAGGAGCTTCATTCTATTGTGTTGTCAAGTCTCTTCTGATTTATGAAGACCCTAACAAGGGGTTTGAAATATGTGAGATGTTCAAAGGGTGGTTTACCATTACTACACTCTGAGTTTCCATAAGGCAGTAGTGATTTGAATCCAAATGTTTTAATCCAGATGGGATCCACTATGCTAGTGGCTGCCTAATTTTAGCCCCCACTCCACATTTTAATGTCAAAGGGTTGGCCCTCATCTCATTCTGTGCTAATGATTTCCACAAGTTATCTGTTTTGAACTTCCCAGTATTCTGCTTCATTAGATGACTCTCATTTTCAGCTCAATAAAAGGAGAAAAATTTTCTCATCCATGAGTAGCTGTATACAGAATCAACATAGTTACCCCATAACTTACATGTCTTTTTTTAAACCAACACCCCCCCATCCAGTTTCACTTATTCCTAAGAGAAGGGTGCCCAGAGTGGTAGAATATACCAGATGGGCGGGATATAAATCGAACAAATAAATAAAGAAGAGTTGCACAGCATCCTGAGAATTTTGGATGGCCTTCTGAGCTTTCTCCAGTTCTAAGATGTGGGCACCAAAATCTATGCAGTGTTCCTAGTGTGGCAGAGCCATAATCCATTCATATGAAGCAAGGGATGGGGAACATGTGGCTCTCTGATTACACTGGATGCCTCACCATTAGCTAAGATGACTAGAGCTGATGGGGCTGCATCTCAGCATCAGAATGACCACATTCCTAAACCTTAGTGAAAAGGTACTATACCACCAACAGTGCTATTGCTGATGCCTGTCCTGGTTTTTCAGCTTTCCCTTTTCACAGCTAACCTCATGTCAGAAATGCCTATGAACCTATTATTTAACCCTCAATGCAGATAAAATACAGCAGATAGCCGGATAATCTATTTCTAGGGCGTTGGCAGAAATGAGATTATTTCTCATCCAAAGATTTATTTACAATTTAAGAGAAAATTGCTCCCACTGTATCTGTGCAGGAAAAATAAAAGCAAAGCACTTCAAGGCAAATTTCCATGTAAGCACTGATGAACTGTTACGTGTACTTAGTATGGGGAATGTGTGACCCTCCAGAAGTTGGAGGGCAGCCCACTATGGCTTCTGGGGAGCTACAGACCAATGAAAGGACACTTACGTCCCATTTGTTTATTGAAAGCAAAATTAATAACATCACAAGGTATCTGTTTGAATGGAGAACCTGAAATTGAATAGTCGGAAGTTGGAATCCATGCTAAGTCTGATGACCTTGACTCTTCAAGCGATGTGCATAAGAGGCAAATAGCTAAATACGGATGAACAGCCAAATCTTGGTGTGAAGAGGCTAAAGTTCAAAGTAAGTTTAGATCTTGAAGAGATGTTTTAAAATAACAAAAACAGATGGGTTGGTTGGTATGCTCAGCACAAGAGAAACAAGGCAGACCTTCTGGGAACTATGGATTGTGTGATCTGTGGACTCCAGTTCATGTGCAAGTGTTTCCACCTCTTCACCTACAAAATCTGATGCTCTGAGGAAGTGTTAGCATGATAGTTCTCCACGTCAACACCCAGATTTTTGAGTACAAGACATCGAATCTACTGAAAAATGTGATAGCAAATAAAAATATTGCATTATTTTATTTATATATATTTATTTCCTAACAGGTGAACTGATCTCACATCTTTGTCCATACCGGTAAACATATAACGTTCTATACAGTCAAGATTTCCCCCTCCAAAGATACTAGACAGTGCATTTTATGCAGAGATCATAACTTACATCTGCAATTGGTAAATCTGTACATAATATACAAAGTTATTCATTTCCAATCTATGTATGATTCAGCAAGTAGAGAGAACATAGCTCTGTTTGGTAAAAAAAGGAAAAAACTACGGAGATGTGATTTGATCCTGAGAATGCCCATGAGAATTGCGTATTAATATTCTTCTTTGCATACTAAATGCATGCAAAAAGAGACTGTGTACCATTGACTGAAAAGTCACTGGAGACAGTCTTTAGGTATTGATAAAGCATGCACGTTTTAAAAATGAGAAAGTATGAAACCGAACATTTTCAAAATAAGCAGATAGACTATTTTTGTTAAATAGCTTCATTTTAAATTTGATTCACAGCAATGAAATCCAGCCTTTTCCAACAGGTGTGAGGCATCACTGCATCAAAGATGCTAACATTTGAAAAATATAGTTAAAATACTACACATTAAGTTCACAGGCTTTGCACATCTTAGTAAGTTTGATGAAATGGTGCACAGCTGTAATGAAAAAATCTGAATTTGTATAATAAGCGTGCAGAACTTAAAACTGTTATGATACACATACCCTGATGTTATATCAAACTTAAAAGTATAAAAATTACTTTTAGTTAAAACAATCTGTAAAACTAATGGTTCAATGCAAATAAAAGTATGGGAGTCTAGAAAAGAAATGTCTTGGAACAAAGTCTACTCTTTAAAAACAGATGGCTAAACTGTGCTTTCTTGGGGTGGAGATTTCCAGCGTGTCTGCAAAGTTTTCATAATACAGGCTGTCATGTTATGGAGTTTCTCTTGCATTTCAAAGAGTTCATTTCCTGAATAGTTAAGAAGTTCTTCTGAAGTCATCTTAGCAGCAAGTGAATTGATCAGGGCCCAAAGGTCTGTAGCTGACTGCTCGTCTGCACTCAAGGCAGCTGATTCACAAAAGTCTAGGAAAGAGGAAAAAATTAGTTACCACATGCCAATTTGCAGAGAGACATCCCCGTATGATTCAAAGCTACGGAGTTCCATTGGGAGGTAAATGGTGTGCAGCTCCTGGGCCAACTATTATATATGGGTCATGGCAATGCCAGAACTTCTCTTCTCCCTCCCAATGGGACAGCTGTTATTAGCAGTGCAGCACACAACAAACTAAACCAGGGGCAGCATCAAGTGCAGCTCTGGAACAAGTGACTCAACAGCGATTGCACTGCTGCTAGTAATGTAAGTAAATGGGATGTATGTTGGGATGCAGATATTTGGGGGGGGGGGAACATAAGCTAACAAACATATGTTGGGATGCAGATATTTGGGGGGGGGGAACACAAGCTAACAAACAGTCAACATGATGCTTCTAGCACCAGTTGATGGATGCAAAGTGCTACCTGTTATGTCTTTATCTTCATTTGCAGGAAGGGGCTTCTCATCAATGTCACTGACTGGCTTCTCAGCTTCATCCTGGCCAGCACTTTCTTCAGATCCACGAGATTTTACCTAGACATTTTAGAAACACAGACTGTCTTGTTGTATTCCATGACAACACAGATGTAAGACTTGGGAGTGCTCTTAAATACACATATAGGCTGAAATGAATAATGCTATGCACTGTACATCACTGATTAAAAACACTGGTATACCCTCTGCTTTAGCTACTGAACAGCAGCCATTCCTACTAAACCTCAACTTGGATGATCTGACTGACGCACTAGAACAGGGCCATCCACAGATCAAGCTACATAATCTATATATTTGGCAGACTTTACAACGACGCAGTGTAGAAACAAATGAATTACAAGCAAAAGGGGAACTGGATTAGCAACAACTTATTCAATAATGAGCACAGTTGAATCCAGTTGGTTTAAGAAGGTTGCTTTCTTATAATGGTAATTCTTCAAGTACTCTTTTGTGAATTCACAGGTATGGGTTCTTTTCATGTGTGTGCAGACTTTGCAATCTTGCAGAGCTTAAGGAAAATGCAAAGACACATGCTTCACATCACAAAGATAACCCTCAGTTCTCCCAGTCTGCTGATAAGCAAGCAAGCAAACAAACAAAAAAAGCAACAGGAGTTGTATGGCAGACAGAGGGGGAGGATGGGTGGGTTGTGTGAATTTGTTGTGTGAATGGTTTCATGAGCTTCTAGAAGCTTCTGAAGTTGTCCATGGAGGTGCAAAAGGGACTCGTACGTGTGATTCAGAGACCACAAAGGAAGGAAAGGTAGGTGAAGAACTGGCCTGCTCAGACATGTAACATGTTTACATCTGGGGGGTGGGAGAGACAGGGGACCTTCTCCTTGCCATATTAGGTTGGGGGGTGTCAAAGGGGAGACTTTCCACTTGCTGCTGTAGGCTAACAGAACTAGCTCCAAGATTTGCATGGTCACACGTGTTTGTGTATCTACAGATGACAAGTGATTTCAGGAAGGTAGCAAACAAGGTGTTTCTTCTCATTTCTCTCTCATTAGCTGCAAAAATTCTTAACAGTAGATAAGAATTCTGTACAGCAGCTTGGATTTCCAAGTTTTAATTTCTACTGTAGGGGGGGAAATGTTTATAGGAGCAACTGCTCTACAGTTGTTTTCTCCTCACATCAAGCATTTCTTCTCTCATTTTTAACAAGACAAGCCAGCTTACCTGTTGTTCATGACACCCCTTGAGTGCTCTTCTCACATTCGAAACTTTGGGAGAACGAACAGGAAGTGTTTTGATTTCAGTTGCTGACAAGGAGCTCAAGTCACCCACAGTTCGGATGTTCTTTGCTCGAAGAAGTTGTCCTAAGCCTCTTGCCCTTGGAGGAAATCAACACAGAAACAGGATACTTTAAAAATATTTCATAAGAAGCGAAAAGAATAGGCATTAGGTAACTCCCTCTCTGCTTCCTCCTGGCTTTTCGAGAGGTCATCTATGGCAATACAGTGTTTTATTAGGCCGGAGGTATGCAAATGTGGCTTTCCAGATGTTGTCGGCCTTTATCTCACCAAATCCTTACTAGCTAGTGGAGTCTCAGCCAGAACTGGGCACCTGGAAGTACAGAAACTGAAATGGAATGCCTTTTATCTGAAAGCAACTGCCTGGAAGAGAATGCATTCCTGCCCTCTTTCGGTGACTTACCCTATGCAACTGTACTTTCACACTATTTTATTGCCAAGATACTATATATCAGCTACCAAATACGGCACTTTCTTTAGCTCGTACGACAGCTTGTTTCTTGGAATCATTTGCATCCAAGTTCAAGCAGGAAAACTTTCAGAGGCCAGACCACTACTCCATAGTGAGCAGAGAGAAGAGTTTCTCTCTCCAGAATGAAATCCAGGAGTTCAACATAACAAACAGAGGCCAAGTCATTATCTTCTCATTCTCTTATACATTCTGACACAGATAATACTCAATAGTTTAGCAGAAAAATGCCAGGAGACCAACAGGGCCTAAAAACGTTGCAGTCTTCCTGCATCCATCCATTCTGTTGTTTGCCATCAAAGGCTTTCCTGTACCAGTTGATTCAGTGGTTTGCTACTTACCAAATATTTGAGGTAATTTGAGGTAAAATTGTGTCCACGGGTGCTTTACAGCCCACTAACGCAGGATATATGCTTTCTGTTGGAGCGGGTAGCGGTTCCTTGACCATCTCAGTGATCTTAAAATTATGAAAAAAAAAGTATTAACTTAGTTTAAGAGCTAGATATAGGAGAAAATACAGAAGAGGTACAGGAAACTGAAGCCATCTTACTAAACACTTCTTTGAGCTCTTAAATCTATGGCTACGAGATCCTGAGGACAGGGATCCTTTGACTGGAGTGGTAATAGGCTGGATGGGAAAAGAGGAAAAAAGCTCTCTCAGGATCACAGGAATAATCTAAAGCCCCATCAAAATAATTTGACAAAACCCAGGGCCCTTTAATTTTGTAACAGGATAAAGGCAAGTTCAAAGGAATGGGCAGCTAAAATTTCTTCAACAATTTAGCGCAGGAAACCATGTTCAAGGTGACCAAGTGTTAGTGCCTCACGTCTTCTATTTCAAATTCTCAAGCAAAAAAGAGATTCTCCTATAATATGAGAAAGCATTTTCCTACTGTTGCTCTGACCCAACCAGGCAAGCCCCTGGGTCACATCCTGTCTTGCTAAGAAAAATCCACAGATATTCTGGAATTTTATTTTTAGTGAGGTACAAGTAGTAACAGCTGGCTGGACAGCCCAATGGTCTCAGTATCAGGATGCAGGGCCAGAGGTTGGGAGTTCAATTCCCCACAGGGCCCCCTGGGAGAAGAGCCAGCCTGGGTGGCCTGGAGCAAGCTGCACAGCCCCAGAGTTGCCTCCAGAAGAAGGGAAAGGTAAACCACTGCTGAGTGCTCTCCACCAGGAAAACCCTGGAAAGGGTTGGACTTAGGTTGGAATCAATTTGACAGCACCCAATTATTATTATTAGTAGAAACATCTGGACAGTGAGCAGCAAGATATCACCTGGCAGACAGAAGTGCATATGTGCTGAAGCAGAAGAGTCCCTGAATTCAACTCCTTGCTCTTTTGCCTAATTAAGTGACCATTCTTTATTGCAAATTCCTTGAAACTCAGAAATTATGTTCGCAAGAAGATTAAGAAGAACAGTTACTACCTTGGCTTTGGCATTAGGTGAAGGTTTACTATTTCGGAAAGATGGAGAACCATTAGAAGAATGGGTTCTGACTACAGGACTTCGCCGGTCAATGTCATCTGCCAATTCTTCTTGGTAGATTGGATTAGCAAAAGAAACACGCCGGCTCTGTTTGTGGAGATGCAATAAAATTACCATTTACCAATGGTACTGCTACAAACAAGGGCTATACTTATACAGACTAGACCTACCAGGTGTCTACGTGAGGATTCTTGCAATGAAATTAGTTCCCCAACCATCATGGGTTTGGGTACAATGTTATGTGTTGCTTTACATAACCTCCCATAAGAAAAACTAAGCAGTCAGCATTTAGCTTTCTTACAAACAGAACTGTACTGCTGATAATTCTAAGGAGCACAAGTGATAGAAAAGAAATGACTTCCTCCTAAAAGGAGGGCAGAATTATTTTTTTGTCTCTGCTCACATCTCCAAGAGGCACATTGTTAAAGAGACACTGATCTACACCAGTGGTTCTTAACCTTTTTGAAAGAAACGCCCCCTTGAGCCATTGAGGACGTTATCATCGCCCCCTTCCACTTCCTCCTAAAAGGAGGGCAGAATTATTCTTTTTTTGTCTGCTCACATCTCCAAGAGACACTGATCTACACTATATTTTGCTGAAATTGGCCAGCAAACCTCATTAGAAGGAAACATTTAAGTACTTTCACATTTGTGAACGATCAGCAGCCAGTTCACTAGCTACAATAACATGCTTGTTTCTATCAGAGCTGCTTCCACAGGGGAGAACAAAGCTACAGAAGTGTCTTAAATAAAGCCAGGAGCCTGGGCTGGCCTGTAGCAAACAGACATGGGCATGAGCCGCCAGTTCATTTACCACTACAACAGGTGATTGGTGGTTTAGAGTCTAAACTATTACAGGCTGGTGAGGTGAGGGAAGAGTGAGAGCCACCACTTAGAATACCTTGTTTGCAGGTGATGGAGAATCCTCCTCTGGTTGTCTTTTTAAACCTCTCTTTAGAATACTGGTAGAGGGAGATGCTGATGGAGACCACATACAACGTGCCTGCATCCCATTAGGGCTTTCGCTGGCCTTAGCCAAAGAGGAGCCATCAAGGTCTTTAGACCTGAGAGGAGAATCTGAGTTATTACTCTCCTTCTCTGCCAAAGCTGAACTTTGAGGATCAGTTGCTATGCCTGCTATGTCATTTTCTGCATTTTCCTGACCCATTTCATTTTCTTGAAGTTCTTCCTCCATAGTTGCCGAAGGCACTGTAGTCTCTTCAACAGCACTCTGAGCGACATTCGCTGTCACTTCACTGGCCTCTACGTCCTCAGCTTGGATAACATCCATCTCTGCCTCTTCTGACGGACCACTTGGAGTCGTATCAGACGTCTGTATGCCGGCTGGATCGGAATCCATCCCTAAAGCCGGGGATGCTTTTCCAAGAGAATTTGGTGCACTTGGCTCTGACGCTGCTGCTTCCAGATCAACACGATCCAGAATTTCTTCAAAAGGCTTGTCCTTTCCAGTTCTAATACATGGTGGATTCTGGAGTTCATCTTGTAGAGTCTCGCCTCTTGGGAACTGCCCCTCGGATTCCATATCTTCCTTCGATTCTTTCGTAATGATAAAGTCCTTGATGAGCGGAGTGCTTGTTGCGCATGGTTCCTGGGAGAGCCCTTCAGCAGAATGTAATTCTTCAGCGAGAAGGACAGATGGCACAGCCATGGATGCTCTACTAGGCATCTTTCTGTGCTCTTTTAATTTTGGTTCTGGAGTACACATTTTTCTAACGTCTGTGGGCAACTTCTCCAAAGGCAGAGAGGACTTTTCATCACAGCAATCACAGCCCTTTGACCTTCTGGCCCGCTTGCTCCGTTTGTGCTGGCATTCAGATTCCTCAAGGGATTTCTCAGAGGAAGGAGAGGCAATGGCCGTCAGGAAATCATCTTCTCCTGAAACGTCAGTAAGACTGCTTGCACTGGAGCATAACACAGAGTCTGTATCAAGAAGACTGGTTCCCTGCCTATCTTCATCAGGTTCCTCAGCAGCGGCTTTCCTTTTAGCAGGCCTGCTCTCTGTACCTAAAGAAACCCTATGCAATAGAGCCTCCCCATCTTGTTTAAGTCCCACACTGTCTCTAACGGGGAGTACTTTTTGGTCTCCTTCTTCACTGTTACTCAAACCCAAAGCTAAGTCCACAGGTCTCTCAGATTGGATTACAGGACTGTTTTTTGCTAGGGAAATCTGGAGTTCTATCGCAGGTTGTGAATGACGCTCCTGACTTTCCAACTCTTCCTTTACTTGGTTCCCAGGAGCATTATTTTTATTTTTCCATCTACCTGACCTTGTCCTCATGACTCCTTCTTCTCTTGTTTCAGAATTGTCGGACTCCGCGTTTTCTATACTGGTGAGTAGTCCCTGGGAGGATCTTCGCGTGTGGTATCGTGGAAGCCCCTTTGGCCTCTCGCCTGTGGGAGGTGGGCCAGAGTCTTGCAAATCATCTGGCTCAGAGGCAACACTGCCTTCAGATTTTTCAGAACCTACAACAGCCTCCTCTGGGTTATTTCTCACAGCCTGACATTCCTTTGCGACGACACTTTCTGGAGCGTTGCTTCCTTGCACACTTTGTGTATCTATTGCTTTTTCAGGCAGAGATTTTTGCTTGTGTGAGGCAGCCTCTTTACCCTGTGTGGTCTTCTTTGACAACACCTTTTCATCCTCTCTACATCCATCTTTCTTCTGTTGGCTGTTCTCTTTGTCTTGACTATCTGCCCCTCCTTCTGTAGCTTCTGGTCTGCGTCTTAAAGAACGTCTTAATGTTTTCTGATTCGTTGACATTGGCGAAGTTTGGCTAACATTAGATATCACCTCTCCTGACATCTCTACCTCTGGAGGGGTGTTCTCTTTCGAGTCAAAATTTGGCACCACTTTTGTTTCTGAAACACTGTCTGAAGTTTGCTTATTTTCTGTCACTGAATTTCCTGCTGCTTGCAAAGTGGAAGTCTGAGTGTCTAGCAAATGTTCTGCTTCTCGTGTTTCACCAGGTATGTCACGGTTGTCTTCCACATGGTTGGCAGGAGTTACTTCAACATTTTTCTCCTGCTCTGACTGCATTAACTTTGAAGTTTTGTCTTCAGAAAGATCTGTGTTACTTTGTCTAAGACTTGATCTCTTTATCCCAAGTGTGCTCTCAGATTGGGATTTTGAACTGGCCTTATTTCCATCTTTAGCTTTTTTGAATTTGACATAAGTCTCTAGCGCGTCTATGATTTCTAAACACGACCTCTTAGTCCGAGGGTGGGTTTCTTCTGTTTTGGGTTTCAAGGTGCTCTTACTCTCTCCATTTGGCTTCCCTGTGGAAGAGGCATCTGGAGTAATGGGAGCACTTCCCTGTTTGGGTAACGCAGAAGTACTTTCAGATGCTCCTGAAGTGTTACTGAAAGTTGAAGAACTGAAGGGTCTGTTTTCTGAAGTATTAAATTTCTCCAAAGTTATGAAGGACTGTCTTCTGCTTACAGTTGGTGGTGTTCCTGAAATGACATCGCTAGAAGCAGAGCTGTTGCTGCTGACATTAGAGGTGCTTTCATTTAAAGAAGTATCTGGTTCTCCTAAAACTTTTTCAGAACACTTTTCTGAATCTTCACAACTTAAATCTGAGTTCTCTTTCTCCAGTTGTTCAGGGGTGCTAGAATCCATTTTGTTCTGAAGTACATCCGGCTTGCGGTTTTCAGGAGGGTTTTCAGGCACATCACCTGTCACTTTTCCATCCTGCAAACAAATCATTTGCAGTAACATTAAACATTGCAGTGGAATTACCACTAGGCCAGGTCTTAGGCTTTTCGGGAAAGTTCTCTTCCACCTCTGGAGCCTTTTCAGATGACTTTTTTTTAAAATGAACCCCAACTTTTTTTAGTTACAGCAACTGCAGGGATCAATCCAGTAAGAATATATATAGGAAAAGAAATATTCAATTCCCAAACATATTTCGCTATAACTATTTTACAGAAAATTTCTGCTAGCTTTAAAAATCTAATGGCATGTCCCAGCTAGAGGTAGGTAGTTCCTTAAAGTACAGGAAGTGCTTTGTTACAGCAAAAGGTCTGAAACAATGGCATCAACAGAGGTGGCACATTTGTTTTTAAGGGGCACGGCAGGGTGTTGCCAATAGTACTATGCCTTCTTTCAAATACACAGGGACAAAGCTGTCCAAGCTGCTTTTCAATATCTCAGAAGTCAATTGTCAAGCTCTGTGCCAGCTAATTGGACACATGGCACAACTATGCAAAGGTCAGCCACGGTACACTATTTGTTTCTGTAATATGTATACCCCCCCCGACTCTTCCACAAACCAAAAATGCCAGTAGCACCCAATAAAATTCAACATACCTTAAATATTGTTTTGTTCTCTTCCTCCCCGTATTCCCTTTTTACATCTACCAAGGCATCTTTTCCCCTAAAATAGAGATCACTTGTTTAGATGTACCAAAATGGCAAAAACTGTTTATATCAAAGTTCTGCTGGCACTGAATACTTACAGTGAATCTTCTTGGCTCTGGGTATACTGGGAAAACAAGGTCGTGTCTTGTGATGCATCCAGAGTATTGTACATGGTAGGAATATCCACCCTGCAAAGGCAAAACAAACCAACGTTTCAATAAAATCACGAGGAGCCGAAATACTTTGTTGTACAACACAGTGCTTGAGCCATTAAGTGGAAATAACTGAGATGGCTACTTACAAAAGCCTAATGGGAAGCCTCTAAAAATTCAAGAATGGCACACACACAACCTTAAAACTGGAATTAGTTGGTAAAAAAGACAACCCAGGAATGATCACAGCATCAGAAGAATATGCAGAGTGAAACCTCCTTCTGGTTACTGAAACCAGAGAAAAATGAGCGCAACTAGACAGGTATTTCTCACTCTTAGGAGCCACCAAGTCACCGTTTTAGTACAGTACCTTCCCCTGTTGCCTACTAGCAGGGCTACTGAAAAGACCATGTGTGTTCTGACTCTTAAGATCTAAAAGGATATATACAAGAAGAGTCTGTGGGACCAAGAAAGATGCAAACCTTTTAGTTCTCAGAACTTCTTTTTGGTGCTCTGTCAACACTCTTTCCTTTGTTTCTGGAGGAATAAACACGAAGTCAACTGTGTTTTCTTCTTCCAGGACTGTATTTTTTCTCTTTGATTTCAACAGTGGGAGTTCTAGTTTCTATTGGATGAGAAAACAAACAAGGTAGAGGAATCGTTACTTGTGTGATGCCTTTGTCACAGGCAAAATACAGTGAGGTCTCAACCTATGGAATTAATCCGTATTGGAACGGGGTCCGTAGGTCGAAAAGTCCTCAAGTGGAAAATGCATTCCCCACAGGAACGCACTGAAAACCAATTAATCCATAAACTGCCCAAGAAACACCTCCCCCCCCACCGCTGTACTGCAGCCAAAACTGTGCTCACGACCTGGGGTTCAATCCCAGGTAGCCGGCTCAAGGTTGACTCAGCCTTCTATCCTTCCGAGGTTGATAAAATGAGTACCTAGCTTGCTGGGGTGGGGGTGGGGGCAATGTGTAGCCTGCATAATTAACTTGTAAACCGCTCAGAGAGTGCTTGAAGTGCTATGGGGCGGTATATAAGCAGCACACTTTGCTTTGCTTTAAAATTAAAATACATTAAAAAAAATTAACCTTACCTTTTCATAGTCTTCCAGGGGTCCCCCGCCGCCGCCATAGGTCTCAGAGAGCTTCGGCGCGGCTGCCTGAGGCCTCTCGGAGCTCCCCCGCCGCTGCCGGAGGACTGAGGGAGTCTGAACATGGCCAGGATGGCCTGGTGTGGCTCCCACCAACGGTGGCGGCGGCGGACCTCCGGGTGCCTTCCAGGGCTTCTCCGCTGCCATGGGAGGCATCTCAGAGGTCCCCCCCCCCCACCGCCGATAGTGCTTCGGAGGCACTCTCGGCGGTGGGGGGCCCCTCCGAGATGCCTCCCATGGCGGCGGAGAAGCCCTGGAAGGCATCCAAAGGCAGATCCGTGGCCTACGGACTGGAAGGGGGTAAAGTGCCAAATTTGAATTGGGCGCTTTCCCCGCCTCCCTCTTCTGGTCCATAGGTTGATTCTCCGGCTGCAAGTCGAAGTAAAACTTTGCGGCTGGAGAAGTATGGATCTTGAAAAGTTCGTAAGTGGAGCGGACCGTAAGTCGAGACTCCACTGTACTTGAACCCTTCAAGAATTCAGCAGGAACTATTCAGCAGAACTCCAGATTGTTGACCAACAGTGTGTGTGAGAATCAGAAGAAGTGCAATTTTGTGAAGTTAGCACTGGGCTTCTTTCTATTCAGTAAGTCTCAACCGTTGTCTAGTATTCAGCAATGCTAAGCTGGAGGGCTTCTCTCCTTCCTTTTCGCATACATGCAACAGGGAGCACTTAATACACTCCTGGCACTTGGGATTTTGTACACATGCATGACCACTCTTTTATTTAGGGCAAGAGGTTAGCTTTCCACATCTTTCCAGTTCTGAACTAGATTTCTCACGGGGCTAGACTTCTCACGGGGGTGAGAAAACATCAACATATCTCCCCCACTCTGGCTGCCTTGCATTGGCTGCCTGTTTGTTTCCGCATTGATTTCAAAGTGTTAATGATGACATATAAAGCCCTAAATGGTTTAGGACCTCAATATCTAGCGGAACGCCTCCTCCCACCTAGATCTACTGCTATCACTTGTTCTAGCCAGGAGGGGCGGCTGAGGGGCCTAATGCTGAGGGAGGCCCAAAGGGAAAGAACAAGAAACTGGGCCTTCTCGGCAGTGGCTCCTCGCCTTTGAAACAATCTGTCCTCAAATATCTGTCTGGCTCCCTCGATGGGTGTTTTTAAGAGCAAACTTAAGACTTGGCTCTTTAGGCAGGCTTTCCCTCCTGTCATCACTTGAAAAATTTTTCCCATCTTGAACCATATTAATACTTTTAAAATTTTATTACATGTTTTTATTATATCTATTACTGTTAGCCGCCCAGAGTAGACTTTGGTCTAGATGGGTAGGGTATAAATTTAATAAATAAATAAATAAATAAATAAAAACAAGTATACATGTGATTCAAAACCCTCCATACCAATACCAGAGTCAAGTACAGGGAACCCTGTTTGGAAAAAATATGTACAACTAATTTTTGGTGTTTCCTAGCTGTATGGCATGAAACAGGATGCATGATGGATGACCAGGTTCATGAAGAACAGTCTGGGAAACGGTGTTTTTTGTTTACAAGACTGCCCATCTACAACCCACAACTGCAAAAGAGTTCTGGCCTAGACTGCTTACCTTCGTAGGTGTTACATGAGAATTGACATTGTTTTCCTTTAGTTCACTGGCCTGACTCAGCAAAGAGTCTCTTTTCCCAGTAGGTTTTACTTCTATTCCACTTATTTTTGAACTCCACTGGGAACTCTCTGTCTGTTCCAAGAGAATTAAGGAATAATGTTATCAAAAGTCATCAAAAACTTTCAAAGCATCAGTTTTTACTGCAAAATGTCACTGATATTAGATGATCACAAGTGCCAAGGCAACAAGGTTTTTCCTGAAAGCCTTTCCTTTCCCGGTTTGAAAAACTTAAACCTCTAAATGTTGTGCTCCACTGGAAGGAGAGTAGTAACAAATTCAAAATTTAACACCATACTTACAGAGTCAGAGAATGTCTCATCAAACTCTTTCACGATCTCAATGCTTTCAAAACCAGGCAATAAGAGTAATGTTTTCTGCTTGGCTTGACATAAAACGGATCTGCAAGGAAACAAATCACAAAGTTCCTACTCAAAATATAGAACTTGTGGTGGTATTCAAAGGATGAAAAATCATGAGTTTTATTAAAGTATCTTCAGCACATAAACACAACAAGCAGTTGAGGTTAATAACCATGCTACACTTTCACTGAAGACTAGTACTGCATGTTCAAATTTAAATATCATACACAATCCCTTACGGTTTGGTATGTCTGTATGATAAAGCCTTTGTACTGTCTTTCTCTCTAAATAAAGTATGTTCTGAAAAGCAAGAGAACTCGCCTCTTTTCAATGTGCTAAATGCACCTCTTACTCTTTTGTTTATTCAAAAGATATCAAATACTATTATGTGGAGACAAAGCATCCATTCAAACAAACAGGAAGGAGATGATGATTCGTATCCATGGGGACTGAATCCCACACTAGAAGCTGTAGAGTCACATATGCCCCTCCCCATAGAAAGACGGCTATAAGCTGTCCCGAAATTGTGAGCTGGGTTAAAGGAATGGCAGATAAAAACATTAGGCAGTCCCTAACCTGTAGACATTTTACCTCTTAGAATTTCACTCTAACACATAGTCTGAGGTGTTGAATGGGGCAACCATCAAGGGAGAAAGGGTTTAAGACCCACTCATTTCTACCCAGATTTTCACCCCCTCCAAAGCTAGTTGCTGTTTCTAAGTAAAATGGTTGGGAAAACAACACAATGGAAAGTCCCATCCAGTGTGGCTTTGATACAGCACACTCAGATGAATGTTGACTGCTTCAATGCACAGCCAGCGCTCTTTTTCAACTCCTTCATTTAAAAATCTCTGTGTGTGACAGAACCTGGAATAGGTCAGGTAAGACATGAGCCAGGTCTCCCAGGGGTTCTGAGAGAGAAACAATTTTTTAAAAATTTAATTTATACCCCACCTATCTGCTCAGAACGAGCACTCTAGGCGACAATGGTCACATCCCTTCCTCCCTCCTCCTACATGCCACTTCCTAGGCTGCTCTGAAGGATCTTTCAATTGTCTAGAGCAGCTCTCCAGAGAAAAGTCACCAAAAACAGTCACCCAATTCTTGCTGGACCAGAGTCTGTTGTACAAATAAGCAGCACTACTCTATTCAGAGAAGGACACGTCTGGATCAAACGCCATGACAAGTTTGGGTGAAGAAAAGCCTAGACAAAAGTTAAAGTCTGTGTTTATAGGCCTACGGAGTACAGCATAAGCACTACAAGTCCTCTTACTTTAATCCTTCCGGGTATGTCAACGTTACAGCTTTACCAAATGTTGCATTCCAGAATTGAGCAGCTTGACTGCGTATCTGCTTGTTCTTGTTCAAAAGTGTGATGGCCAGCAGTGGAGAAAGCTCCTGCAGCAGCTCACTGTCAAAGGGTCCAGTATAATGGGACTGCAAACAACTAATACTTTCCATTAACAACTTTTCAAGCTGGGGAGAGGGAAAAAAAAGAAGAGTAGAGTAAGATATTCATAGAACAACCAGTTGTAAACAAACACAGGCCACACCTGAAGTCAGGCTTCTACACACACAAGGAATGGATCAATCCTCTGCCATGTAGGTAACCATTTCGAAAAAATCTATGTGGGTTTTCATTATGCAATAGTCACACAAATATTACAATCCTGTCTGTGCTAAATGGACAAGAGTTCACTGGACAACAAACACACACAACCTACTGTGGCTTTTTATAGAACTGGGCCGTAAGGAAGTTAAATACAAGTTTCGGGTATTTAAGTGGAACCCCTTTTTCACAGGCCCACAAGCTGACACCTTAGTCAGTGCTGCTCCGAATCGCACAGCTGGAAGCACAGCTGTCACCGCAGGAAGGACGGCCTTCAAAGCATTAGAGGCCAGCTTCTCAAATGCAAGACAGAACAAAGCCGTACGCATGCAGGGAACCTTGTAGAAACCTTCTCTATCAGACCACAATTCCTGCCAACTTTTAGCAGCCACCTATAGCAAGAAGTACACCTAGGGGGAGCATGTAAGGCAGAGTTGCAGGGCAGCCCATGTGGCCCCTCCAAGAGGAGGAAGCTAAAGGGGCAGAAAGATAGCAGCTTGTGTGCCAAGTTCTATTACCTTGCTGTTGAGTCCATTGGCCACTTTAGATACAGTAGATCTGGCAGGGAAAGGAGATGTAATATATGAATATCTATGTGCCAGATAATGGCATCTGCTGTCTAAATACAATTTTAAAAACAATCAGTTAAGTTGAAATATAACTATATGCAAGAAATGATACAGATCTGTCCAGTCAAAGGGCTGGTTATGACAGCAATTTAATAATTCAATTTATCAACAGATTAAAAAAATCACAGTCTTCAAGTTCCAGCTCAGCTATTCAGACATGATGGGCACAGAATTCCAACACACCTAAGTAGCAATTATCCCACTACAAGTTTGTTAAAATGAACATTCAGAAACCATCCAACTTTAACCTACTACATTTTTAAGGCTATTACCCAATTAAAGTAGTCAAAATTGATCATTTATCAGATTGGCATAAAAACAGGAAAAGAAGCAGCCCAAATGCAGACTTCTGTTTCTGGATTATGCACCAGTGCATCAACACAAAGGTGTTTCCCCGCAAGAGAGAGCAAAGGCAAAATTCTTCTCTGAGGCTGATGCTTGTGCTCTGCAATTCTTACAAATATCTGCATTTTTTTTTAAAAAAATAACACAGCAGTTTTTTTAAAATCAGCAGCACTTTTATCAATTAAAGAATTGCTGCCATAGTAGAAAATTTGAATCAAGGGTCTGTATAAGGTGCTATAAATCTTCCAAATAAATGTCAATATAGTATTTCTGCAATTCAGGGACTGGTGATGTATAATCAAGTCCTTCTGTCAAGCTGCTTAAAACAGCTACATGTGACCAATGAGAACACATCTGGTCTGTTAATTTAAACTATAACTTCAGAGGTCTGTTACCTACATAGTAACTAGAGGGCCTACCTAGCAAAAGCAGCCTGCCATCCTCGTGCCAATACAACCACAGCCCAACGAACCACATGCACTTACTTTGTTTTTTCATAAAATGCTGCCAGTGGATTCAGAACAGCTCCAAACAGAGATCTGAGGACCGAAGGCAAAGAGATGTGGCCAATGATGTTCTGAAGAACACCAATGACAGAAGCCCCGATGGGGGCCAGTTTTTCCAGGCCAGAGTCCTTGGATGCAAGCATCTGAAGGGAATTTATTAGTATCACCAGAAGTTTAATTAAGGATGACAGCTTGCCAAGGGGATCTTTCTTCTTTTTGGACCAGTCTGTAGAGATCTGCGGGGCTGAAGAACAGTTTGTTATGTAACAACACAGCTTAAACATTCAGCTAAACCCGCATTAGTTATTCAGACTGATGGTAAGTCATGTTTGCCCTTGCATCAGTAGACACTGATGAATGGCAACTTCACCTTTCATACCTTACTTTAAGAGACTACTGTTCTCCAATAGCTGGAAAACTGCTCATTTGCTATTCATCCAGAATAATAACTCTGAAGAAGGCTGCAGAATCATGTGTGCCTTTTCTGTGGCCTAAGGCCACAGGCTAATCACAAACAGAGCAGACCCACGGAATCAGTGTGCTTTGCCTAAGAGTGGACTTATCCTTCAACAAGTCATTCACTAGGCCTATACTAGGTAGGGATACTGCACATAGGCTTGTGTTTCAAATATTAGGTTTCACAGGAATCCGGGTTAGCAGTAGCCATGTTCAGCAGAACAGAAGATTCCGAGAGGGCAAACAGAGAGGGATAGCGCAGAAACAGTTCTAGCTGCAGGACAGGTGGGCAAGAATGAACACAGAATGGTTATCTGGTGACTGTATGTGGCGAGAGGAGGAGGGGGCAGAACAGGGGGATGAAACCTAACAGAAGAAGTCACACCCTGAGGCATACTTATTGTTCTTACATTTATTTGCCGGCTGGTATTTCGTACCGTAAGGTGCAAAATTGATGCAGTTAACCATAACTGATGTGATGTATGTGAGTCCATCCAACATGGGCTGATTCTGGAAAAGAATAACCAAGATTTGTCACCCAACTTTGCAAAGAATGAGGGAAACAGTAAGGGCTTACACAAAGCCCCAAATCACACTCAGTATTAACTGGGGCGTGCCTGTGCTCCTATACTTACAATACACGTTTCATCTTCTAAACCAGATATTACTTTGGCACACAGCTCTTCACAACATAGATTATCTTCTGCTGTTGCCACCAGCAACGCACAGCGGGCAAATGCTCGGTAGAGGTCCGACCAGGAACGCAGCAATGTTTTCATGATAGGCTGCAGGAAAGTGTGTTTTAAAAAACAAACAAACAAAAAAGGTCAGATCGTATTTCTTTGCCAACTGGCAACAACGCTTGAAAAACATCACTGAGTTGTTTTCCTACCTGTAGAAACTCAGAAGATGGGAAGATGTGATTTATAGGTAGCAGCAACGCACTGTATATTGCACTGAAGTTATGTTCCAAAGCATCACCTTGATTTACTTCATTTGTCTAAGGGGGACAAAAGCTAAAGTTGGAATAACCTACAGATTTTTAGTACACAAAGGGCCTGACATTTAAGCTTTTGTTTTTAGAATGTCCTTCATGTGCATGACCTTTCACAATCAGGAACTTTCATTCTAAATACAGAATAATTTCCATATAAGTGATCTGAGGAGACAAAGCTAGTCCACCATACCTGGTTAATCCACTCCGTTAATGGGCTAACCAAAATACTCCATATTCGCCAGAGTTGTTCTTTGTCTTCCAGGTACTGAGCACTCTGATTAACAATGCTGATTACAGATTCACTAAACGCCAGAGGAGAAGTGGGGCCGGAGAGAACAAATTCTACCAGAGATTCATAGTTCAAGAAAAACCTAATTTAAAAAAAAGGAAAAGAAAAGTTATTCAGAGAGTCAAAACATCACAAATTTTATTTAGCAAATGACTACAGCTTGAACAATATGTCATAGTCTTAACTTTTTGGGGGTAGGGACAAGGATAAGATTTTATACTCTTGAAGCAGTAAGGCACTGTCACCAGCAAAATTTTAGTCCTCAAAAGAAAAAGAAGTCTTTATAAATTAAACTGCCTCTCAACAACAGCTGAGCGAAGGATGCTTAATCATGTGAGAATTGGAGGAGCATACTTTAATTCTGGCATACCTACCTTTCATCCTGAACACCACATTTCAATAAGTCTTCATAGAAAGAAAGTTGAATTAAGAACAATGCTGGAGTTCCCTAGTGTGAAAACAACAACACAGTACTTAGTTCCAACATACAGTATGTCTGGCTTACACATATGGACTCACACCACTGGTGGGCCCTGGAGGACTCAAGGGCTTTGTTTCCTACTTTTCAAGCAACCGATTCTTGCTAAATGAGTCAGCCTGTAAACGTAAGATAGTCTGAGTATACTCTTGCGTACAATACTGTGGCTTCTGGAATTTTAAATACCTGGGGCACTCATATTTTAACCTGGTAAATATTGCTGAAGACCACTGTCTTTTTATAGCTCTGAACTGGCCACCAGTGATTGATTATGTTCTCTGATCTCCGGAATAACTGAACATGCCTAGCCCGGCATTACCATTCCGACACAAATGGACCTTACGCCTGAGCTGAGAAATGGTTATAACCAGGCATCTGGTGTTCAAGTTAGCTCAGACCATGTCAGCGATGCAGATCACATTCGAGATGTGATCGCCTCATTTGCATCAGTGGGACCTATGTGACCCATGATTATGGTTTCTAATTAGCATGTGACTTTTAAAGAGAAGTTTTTCAGTTCAGTACTTGGTTTTGAAACAGTGTTTGAGCGAACATTTGCCCCCAGAATGTATCAACGCTCTACTACTCGATTTTGGAGCAAAAAGCGCCCCTTAGAGCTTTTTAAATCCAAAATCTAGAATATAGTCTACCTGAGAGCAAGAAACACTGTAGTCTTTAAAAATGAGATGGTGATGAAACAAATAATTATCACTCTCCAAAGGCTGAAAACACCAAGACATCTAGTTCCACATGGCTCGGACATCCAGTCCAGAAGTTCCAAGAGCCAGAACTTCTTTTCCCTATGTATTTTTATTCCACATTTTCATTACAAATGTGAACTGTTCTCAGAAGTTACATGAAATGGATACATAAATACCCTGTTTCCCTGAAAATAAGACCTAAACTGAAAATATGCCCTAGTATGATTTTTCAGGATGCTCGTAATATAAGCCCTACCCCAAAGATAAGCCCTAGTTAAGTGAAACCCCACCCTCCACCATTGTACAACAACCCGACGATGACGTGACTGTATTTGAATAAATGTAGATTGTTGTACATGAAAAAAATAAAACGTCCCCTGAAAATAAGTCCTAATGCATTTTTGGAGCAAAAATTAATATAAGACCCCGTCTTATCTTTGGGGAAACACGGTAAGAGATACACAACTCAAACAAGTTCCAATACTTCTTATAAAGTAAGAGGAAAACAAAAAGCATGCTAAACAGGAGCAGCTCCTGGTGTTTCCATTGCCTGCCTACCTCTTTCTCCAGGAATCCTTGTCATGCAACAGCTAACAGCCCAGAAGTAGAGCTGCTGAACCCTTTGCTTGCCTTTGTTTCCCACTTCATATAAAGGCAATGACCAAACCTTTGTTGTGGTTATGAGATACCGAGTTTGGGGCTTTTGTAACATCTTCACTCCATTCTCCCATCTCTGACCTGGCAAGACACATCAGCTGACCAGGCAAATGCCATATTCATTTACCTGGTATCTCTGTAGCTGTACTAACTTGTGTGGGGTATTGAAAGAAATCTTAAGGAAGAATTTAGGATATTCTGTCTGATTATTTATGCTTTGGGGCAGAGAGGGTGTTGTGGGTGGGCAAAATTCAACCCTCACTCCTTCTGGGAAGTTGATTTAGTGAGATGTAATGGAAACCAATTCAGTACTACACATTCACTATCCTAAGTCGTTGTGAGACACTCCTCAAGGCAACAAAAGGTCACACCATCTACTATTCTACCATGAACCTGCACATTTACACAGACACATTGAAAAATGGACTACAGACATATACACTTACATTTAAAAGATCCATGTCAGCAACCTGATAGGCTGGCGATCCTAACACTTTTGGAGGCAATTCTTTAATTGTGATTTCCATTAGGGACTAATGAAGAAAACAAAATATTGTTACTGAAATAAAATGACAATCAAGTGCTGATGCCAAACTATAACTGCTAATATAGGAAAGTGCTATTCATTTTATTTCAGAAGTTGCAAGTAATTGGGAAGAAAATAAAAATTGCCAGAAAAGGTGCGAGCATGAGAAAAGAGCAATGCCTACAATTTAATGCCTATAAACCTGATTACTCTGAAGTGCTAAATAGTACGTACAGTTTTAACCCACAGTTTAATACATTTCAGTGGTAAAACCAACACTATGTACCAATGTCTGAGCAACAGCTAACCAATTCAAAATAAAAATCACATAGATACAATGTCTCTTGTAATAATATATAATGTATGTATTCACCACACAAACTATAGTAACACTTACCAATGATTTTAACACAGGCAGTTCTTTCGACATGACAATATTTTTTAAGGCCTTCAGCAACATTGTGAGCACTTCTGAATTTTGCCGCTCTCTTTTGCTGCCTAGAAATACAGGATGCAGAACAAAGGTCTTAAGCATTCCTGATTACAGTGGTGCCTCGCACAACGATGTTAATTGGTTCCAAAAAATTCATCGCTGTGTGAAACCATCGTTCTGCGAAACACCATTTCCCATAGGAATGCATTGAAAACCGGTTAATCCGTTCCAATTGGAACGGATTGCAGTCCTTAAGCAAAAATTGCCATAGGAAACATCGTTGAGTGAAACACGGTTCCCCAATTGAAATGCATTGAAGCCGACTCAATGCATTTCAATGGCTTTGCGAAGTCCTTTATCGCTCCTGTAAAAGTGTCGTACAATGTTTGGAACCTGTTTAAATGCTTGCAATCATTAGCCCTCCTCCTGAACCCTATGCAAACTTAATTTGGTGTTGTTTTGAGTCGTCGTTAATTTTTGGTGAATTTTTTTATTCTCCCTTGAAAGCCTTTGAAAATTCACCAAAATAGAGTTCAATGAGAGAAAAAACAAAAAATCACCAAAAATTAACGACGACTCAGAACAACACCAAATTAAGTTTGCATAGGGTTCAGGAGGTGGGCTAACGATTGCAAGCATTTAAAACATGTTCCAAACATTGTAAGACACTTAAAAATGAGCAAAAACGGACGTCGGAAAGGACTTCAAAAGCACTGAAGCTGGCTTCAGTGCTTTAGAAGCTCTTATTTATTTATTTATTTTTTATTTATTTATTTGATTTTTATTTTTATTATTTTTCTTCTGTTTTCGCTCATTTTTAAGTGTCTTACAATGTTTGGAACATGTTTTAAATGCTTGCAATTGTTAGCCCACCTCCTGAACCCTATGCAAACTTAATTTGGTGTTGTTCTGAGTCGTCATTAATTTTTGGTGAATTTATGTTTTTTCTCTCATTGAACTCTATTGAACTGTCCGTCCAATGAATTTCAATGAGAGAAAAAACAAAAAATTCACCAAAAATTAACGTCGACTCAGAACACCAAATTAAGTTTGCATAGGGTTCAGGAGGTGGGCTAACGATTGCAAGCATTTAAAACAGGTTTCAAACAGTTTTGAATGGATGGGATAACTACCATTCCTCCGATGCTGGAATTCAGTTTCATCCTTGGGCTGGCGGAGGCTCCAGAAATGAAACTTCCTAAAGGAGAAAGGAAACACTGCTTTTTATGAGTACATCACTGAATAAAAAGAGATTGATTCTCACATGTGAAAAAGCACAACATGCAAAAGGGGGCCAATTTAAGTTTAGCTCTCTCTCTACTTTAAAGGAGACTGTAGACTATACTATACTTCAGAACCTTTCACAGCTGTAGCCCTGACTGCTTAATTCAAGTTTATGGTAGTTTGATTTTACAGAACAAACACAAAACAAGACAATGTTACTTCTGCACATTCTTGAAAGAGGATTGTTTTCAGGTAGATCACTCATGTTGGTAACAAATCTCTCCTCTGCAGCTCTAGACCTTAGAAGGCTTCTGTTTAAATCAGAGGCCGACATCCTTTTCAGTCGCCAGACTTGTATGGAATGCAAGGAACACATTCAGATGTGCACACAGCACAGAGAACATGACAACTTCCTCACTGTTAGGGAGACTGAACAGTTAATAAGACAGAATACATCCCCGTCCAACATCCTCTCTCAACCATGCTTCTTCTCCATGTTGTGTCCTAAGAGCAGCCTCTTCTCCACAGTATAGTTTACCTATCAGGACAATTAAATGTTGTAATTATACAATTATATAATTACCTGATTCAATTGCACTTCTCACAAAACCAATCATTTCTTTCCATATGGCACTCAGAATAGTATCTGCAGGACAAGAAATAAAGATAAAAGGATGAATCACCCTAAGCAGTCAGAATGATTTCTGATGTCATATAAGCCAATGGAAGAGACAGGTAACATGTTTTGATTGCTGCACTTTAAAAGAGCCCTCTCTGAATGAAACTTTGCCTGACATTATGTTTTTTTGCATAAAAGGACAGAATCTTACCAGACGCTTCTTTTCCAACTGCAATGAAACCATCCTGAACTGCATTTATGAATGTGCTGGCATGCTTGCAGAAGAAAGAAGGGCTGCTGATTACAGAGTACTGAAGAGGTTCTAGGTGGGGAAGAGAGAGCACATGTTTTCTAAGACTGGCAGAAGGTAACCGTCAGCAAGTTAAAGAAACAAGGAGGAAAACCAATGTTGTGGCGTCTTGGAGCTCGACAGAACCCTTTCAACAGGCTGTATACTTACCTAAACTAAGTACAACACTGTTTTCCTTGGCAAAATTCAACACTTCTGGCCCCACGAAGAAGTGGAGTAACATTTCTATTCCTAGAAGTTGAATGGATGGGATAACTACCATTCCTCCGATGCTGGAATTCAGTTTCATCCTTGGGCTGGCGGAGGCTCCAGAAATGAAACTTCCTAAAGGAGAAAGGAAACACTGCTTTTTATGAGTACATCACTGAATAAAAAGAGATTGATTCTCACATGTGAAAAAGCACAACATGCAAAAGGGGGCCAATTTAAGTTTAGCTCTCTCTCTACTTTAAAGGAGACTGTAGACTATACTATACTTCAGAACCTTTCACAGCTGTAGCCCTGACTGCTTAATTCAAGTTTATGGTATTGGCTAAAAGCCGTCACAATTGTTTAAAATACAAATATGATCAAGTAAAATCATGATAAAATCACAGACATATAAAATAACAAGAGACCATATCTGGGAGTCTCCCGCACAATTGATCGTGATGGCTCTCAGGAAATTAGCACGAATGTTTCTGGCTGCTTTTGCAAACAGTATGTAACATATGGGTTACAGTCCAAAAGTAACCTGCCCATCTTTATCTGAGGGCTTTCCTCCTGTAGGGCAGCCAAAATGTTTCCCAGGAATTTTTCTCTAGGTTTTTTTTTTTGATAGAACTGACAGTTCAGTAAATAGTGAATAATATCCTCTATCTCACCTGCTCCGCAAATACACAGCCTTAGATGCTTAGGAACATTCATGTACCTACTGTCTAAGACAGCGGTTGGCATGGCTTGAAAACCGAGTTCTGTGAATGTGGTTCTCAGGGAGGCAAAAATAAGTGTATGTAAGTATTGCACCCTTGAATGGTTTGTTTTCAGCTGATGGTACCAGTGAGAAATCTGAAGAGTCCGTTAAGGCTAAGTCCTGGTTATTATTATCAATTTGTAGATCCCTCAACATTCTTTTAACCCCAGAAAAAACAAAAATGTCTGTGGAGAGGGATTTAGATTTTAGTAGG